CCTGTCCCATGGAGCAGCAAAGCAGGCTCCGCCCTCACTGCCAAATTGGCAGGGTCCAGAACAGCTCCCATGACCCATGCTGAATCCCCACTCCCCTGGTGGAAGGGGGCATTTGTGTTCCTTTAGGGCCACTGTGTTTGCCAGCTGAGAGAGAAACAGACAGAGGAAAGATCACACATCTACTGGTTCACTTGCCCAAATGCTTGTAACAGCTGGGACTGGGCCAGGCCAAAGCCAGGAGCCTGGGACTCAATTCAGGGCTCCCACGTGGCTGGCAGAAATCCAGGTACTGGAGCCATCACTTACTGCTTCCCAGGGTACACGTCAACAGGAAGCTGGAGCCAGGACTTGAGCCAGGCACCCCGATACAGATGTGGATGTTCCAAACAGGGACTTAACCACTGCACCTAATGCCCTCCCCAGCTCCCAGATATCTTAACTCGAGGAAGGAAGAAGCCACTGGGTTTATTTCAAAGCGAGCAGAGAGGAGCAGGTCAGAGTTAAAGGAGGTATTGGGGAGAAGGAGGTATCCTGATGTTCTGGGATCCTTTTGGGTTCTCCAGGCAACATGAACTTGGACAGGACCGTAGGGCACACAGGACGGAAACTTTGGATTGGAGCTCCTGGCAGGGAGACTTCTGGGTGGCAGAAGCTGCTGGCTTGGGGCCAGCATTGTGGCACAGTGGGTTAAGCCACTGCCCACGACAACAGCATCCTGTATCAGAGCACAGGTTCAAGTTCCCGGCTGCTCCACTTCCAACCCAGCTCCCTGCTAAAATTCCTGGGAAAGCAGCAGAAGATGGCCCAAGTGCTTGGGCCCTGCACCCACGTGCGAGACCCAGATGAAGGAAGCTCCTGCCTTAGCCCTGACTGCTGTGGCCATCTGGGGAGTGAACCAGCGGATGGAAGTTCTCTCTCTCTCCCTCTCTCTCCCTCTCCCTCCCTCCCTCCCTCCATCTGTCAGTCTTTCAAATAAATACATCTTTAAAAATCACTTAGAAGTTGCTGGCTCTTCTCTGTTGCATGTTCTGTGTTAATAACTTCTCTTAGGCACCTTCTTTTTCCTGGAGTTTAGCTACTTCTCACCAGCCCAGCTTCCTCCTCCTCCTTTCGTTCCAGACCCCGCTGGTTGCCTGCTCAGCTGCCTGTAAGGTGCAACGCGATGTGTGGGTGTCTGTTTATATATGTTTGAAGTTACTCAAGTTCCTAGCTGCAGCTTTCTGTTCCTTTTTTTTTTTTTTTTTTTTTTTTTTTAATGACTGCTGAGTTTTGAAAGTGTTTCACGTTTTTTGCTTGCATTCCCAAACTGACTCATATTCCCTTTAGGTTATGGGTGACCCTTCGCCGGTTTTATTTCCTCCTGGAGGGCAGAGGCCTCCCCCAGAGCACGCACTTGTGGCCTCCTGTGTCTTCTCGTGGTGACCCTGGGCAATTAGGGAATTGGGAGGACAGGGACTGTCCCTCGGGGATGGCTCCTGGCTGAGGGCTGCACGGAGGAGGAGGCGGGCACTGCACAGATCACCGCTGATAAATGCTCTGAATATGCCTGGGAAGAGTGAGATGCAGCCAGACAGGGCATCAGAAGAGAGCCGCTGTGTGGGGAGGAACGGTTGAATGGGAAATTAGCTTTTCTTTCCCTGTAATTGTTTTGACATGAGCGGTAATTAGCCAACAGCTGACAGACCAGAACTGGAGTGAGAACAAGGGATTGGATTAGGGGCAAAATGCCTCTGCATCACCAAGTTCCTGGCTGCCGGGAGCCTGTCGGGCTGTGAGCCGGGGGGCCCCAGGGGCACAAGGCAGAGAGCAGCCTGCTGACTGCCCTTTGGGGCACTGGGAGGAAGGGAAGAAGTTGGGGTCACTCTCCTCCCAAGGAGGTGGGGAACAACCTTTTGTGCAAGGACCCTGCCTGATCACAGACGGGGCTGACCACCCATCTGCCCAGGTAAAGAGCTTCTTGCATGCCTCACTTCCCACACCATGGTTCAGTTTTGTGTTTCCTTTGCTCAGGGTTAGGGTCAGGGTGTTGCTGGCAATTGTAAAATCTCCTGGGATGCTTGCCACGTGTTTGCGTGCTCTGTAACATGGCTTGTGTCTGGCCATTGCCTTATGGAGGATTTGAATGAATTTGCCCATAAAACCATCTGGGTCCAGTGCCTTTGCCGGGAGAAGGGATTTTTTTTTTCTAAAGATTTTGCTCTTTTTGACCTCTCTAGCATCTTTTGAAACCATTCTGATCATTTGAGTCATATAGAAGGTTTGGTTTTTATTAGCAAAGAATTAGAAATAATATATTCTTGCATTTTTAAAAAAGTCTCTACTGTATTCGCTGTGCTTTTGTGTTTTTCTGGAAGCTGAGCATTTGTGTTCTCTCTCACTCTCAAATTAGGCTGGCTCATCTGTTTTCTATACACACGCACACACACACACACATGCACGCACACACACACGCACAGAGCCCGCGGTTGCTCACGTCACCATGTTTCTTAACTCATTAATTTCTGTTGCCAGATGTATGTGCCTTCTCCCTGTTTTCCTTTGGTTTACTTCTTCTGGCCTCTTCTTTTTTTCCCCTAAAATCTTCAATTGAATGTTTACTCCATTTATTGTTGTTCCTTTGGGTTTGGTAATGAAATAATGAAGGCTATGGCTTTTCCTCTAAGTATAATCCAGGCTGTATCTCGTTTATTTTAATGTGTTCTTCCTTGTTATTTTCTAAATATTGTGTAATTACAGTCTGAAATTCCCTTTTGACCTGAGATTATATAAGAGAGCATTTTTCTTAAGTTTCCAAGTATTTGGGGGTTGGGAGAATGAGGATCTTGTGGATTTTATTCTTTCATTATGAATATCTACTTTTATTGCTTTTGGATCCAAGAGTGTGGCCTGGGGTTTTAATGCCTGTTGTCATTTATCGACGGTTCGTTTGTGACCAACTTTTTAAATATCCCATGGTTTCTTGGCACGAGATGCCCTATTTGTGGAGTCTGCTGTTGGACACATCTAGTTCAGTCAGTTCTTTCAAATGAAATTATTCAGATCTGCTTTGTCTTTCCTTTAGTCTGTTCACCCATCCTAAAGCAGTGGCCTGAGGTTTTCTGCTGCTGTTTTGAGATCTTCCAGCATTTGTCTTTGATCCTTTCCAGTACTGGGCTGTGTGATCGATACAGAGTCTTGAGTGTTCCTTCATGATGGGGAACGTGGGTCGTTGGCCCCATGCTTTCCTGGTGTAGCTTTGTGCCCATCTGAGTAGATTCTCATCTGCCCCCTCGGCCTGCTCCCCGTTGGAGTCCTGGCCTCCCCTCTTACACTGCCTGTCTTGTTGAGTGGGTATCATCAGAACGTGGCCAGCTGCCTAAGAGCGTGGGTATGGACCAGGCCCCTGGCAGCTGGCCTTCTGGGATTAATTTCTTGTTGCTCCCCTAAGCCATGGCAGTGAGGGCCTGCAGTGTGCCCATTTTCTGTTTGCTCGGAATGTGTGTGCTCACCCTTGTTCTGGAGTATGGAGCAGACCTGATGAGCCAGGGAGAAGGCGCCCTGCCCGCAGGCCCTCTGTTGAGTGTGGCTGTGCTGGCAGATGGCCCTGGACTTTCTCCTGCAAGCGTTGGCAGGTGGGGTCCATCCCCAGCAAGGGAAAGGTTTTCCACGGAGTGGTCCCAGCAGGCCACACTCATTGCTTACTCCCAGCCCTTGCCTTGCCAAATTACAGGTTGTGCATCTCTCTTTTTTTAAAAGATTTATTTTATTTATTTGAAAGAGTTAGAGAGGGAGGTAGAGACAGACAAGAGAGGTCTTCCATGCACTGATTCACTCCCTACATGGCTGCAACGGCTGAAGCTGCACCGATCCAAAGCCAGGAGCCAGGAGCTTCTTCTGGGTCTCCCATGTAGGTGCGGGGGCCCAAGGACTTGGGCCATCTTCTACTGCTTTCCCAGGCCACAGCAGAGAGCTGGATCAGAAGTGGAGCAGCCGGGACTTGAACCAGTGCCCATATGAGATGCTGGAGTCACAGGTGGCAATCCCAGATATTTTTTATATTTGCATCTACTTATATAATGAGATATCTTGAGGATGGGACTGAGTCTAGACAGAGAATTCATTGATGTTTTATTTACCCCTTATGCACAGAGCCTGTCAGTCATTTTCTGCAATATTTTTAGTGACTTTGCACTCAAAACAAGGCTTCATCATGTGGTATTTTTTTAAAGATTTATTTATTTATTTGAAAGTCAAAGTTACACAAAGAGAGAAGGAGAGGCGGAGACAGAGAGAGGTCTTCTGTCTGCTGGTTCACTCCCCAACTGGCCACAATGGCCGGAGCTGTGCTGATCTGAAGCCAGGAGTCAGGAGGTTCCTCTGGGTCTCCCACGCAGATGCAGAGACCCAAGGACTTGGGCCATCTTCTGCTGCTTTCCCAGGCCACAGCAGAGAGTTGGATCGGAAGTGGAGCAGCCAGGACTCGAACCGGTGCCCATATGGGATGCAGGCACTGCAGGCGGCAGCTGCACCTGCTACACCACAGCACCCGCCCCATGGGATGTTTTTTACTTGTGGTCTCATAGCAGCTCTCAATAAAGTTCAAATTTTAGAGTGGATTAGGGCTGCTCAACCAACCTAAACTCTATTCAAAAAGAAAAAAAAGAAAACACTTCTGGTCTTGAGCATTTTGCATAAGGGGCCAGTGGACTCCATAGAGAGCAGCTGCCCAGGGCTGCAGCTGATAAAACAGGACAGTGGCAGTGGGCCTCCCGCAGCCTCACCTCCTGTCAAGCACAGTCTCTGTGCTCTCCTGTTCTAGAAAAAGCGCGTCCCCTGGGAGTTCAGCCGTCTGGGTGCTAAGGATCAGAGAGGTGCTTTCAACCCATGCCCAGCTGTGCCGGCCCTGGGATGGCCGTGGCCGGCAGGAGTTCTCAGAAGCAGTGGGTGGAGGAGGCTGGGCTGCAGTGACTGACCATCAGGGCACCCTGCACCGCATCTGAGTCGTGTCTCTGTCCCCGCAGTGAATGGATACCACGCATCAGGGACCCCAGCGCACCCTCCCGAGACTGCCCACATGAGTCTCCGAAAATCCGCTGGTGATTCCCAGGTAAGAGTCCTGTCCCTTGAAGGGAGGGAGGTGTCCTTGCGGCTCCCCCAGGTCGTGGGCAGTGGGTGGACCAGACAGACCAGAGAGAAGGCCCCCTGCCTGCAGGCCCCCTGAGGGGTGTGGCTGCACTGGCAATGACCGTGAATGTTTTGGGTCCCAGGAGGAGTCCATTCAAGATGGGCACTGGGGGGTCCATGTGGCCACAACCGGTTCTGCTCCCAAGGAGAGAGTGGTTGGTGCACCTGGGTCTGTCACAGGTTCCCCGATCAGGAGGAGGTTGGATCCTCGTGGCTTACTGGCTTTCTAGAAATTCCGGGTGGTCTAGATGAGGGAGTGACGGGATGGACTTGTCCTGGCAGGGGCCCAATTTCCGGTCACCTGAAGGCCTGGGCGGCCCAGGACTCATATTGTCCTTTTCCTAATCCCAGACTGGGATTTAGTCAAACCTGACGACCTCCCTTGCTGTGCTAGTGTGGAGGCAGCCGTGGGGTGGGGAGAGCACGGGCGTATGTCTGATGGTTCCCGCTCAGCTTCCCCGTGCGCTGCCCCAGGCGACAGTGCACAGACATGTGGGTCCTGCCTGTGGTCCCTGGGGCTCAGACTGGGGTAGGGACTTGCATGCATTCATGCGGTCACTCGCGGGCCCGCCTGGGCCTCAGTACCAAGGCCGTCAGTAGCATTCAGCTGTGTCTGCAACACTGAAGATTAGCTTACCCGTCACTTGCCAAGGAGATGCTGTCTGATGTGTGTACTGCTTTATTCATTTTATTTATTTGAAAGAAAAGTAGACAGACAGGTCTGCCATCCACTGGCTCACTCCCCAAATGCCCGTAACAGCTGGGACCAGGCCAAGCTGATGCCAGGAACCTAGCACTCCATCCAGGTCTCCCACGGGGATGGCAGGGACCCAGGGACTTGAGCCATCGCTGTGGCCTCCCAGGGTCTGCATTAACAGGGAGCTCGAGTCAGAAGCTGGAACCAGGACTCGAACCCAGGTGGTTCTAATATAGGATGCAGGTGTCCCGAGCAGAGTGTTAACCATTGTGCCAAATGGCTGTCCCCAAAGAGACGTTCTGAACGAAGCTTCCACCAGCCTTTTTCAGAAAATAAAATGCCAGACCCTGAAAGTGATAATGATGGTGAGGATGAAGATGACAATGATGATAACAGTAGCAGCTTATGCCATGGCTTCTGTGTACCAGCTGCTGACAGATATCCTGTTAGTGATCTGTGGCTCTCAGCTATATTTCCAGCAAGAGTGTCAGTTTGGGGAACACTAAGTTTTCTTGGGAGGCCGGGCCGTGGGCTTAGATGACCCTGGCAGAGTTTGGACGTCCGTGAGGGTCAGAACCTCCTACATCTTGATGCACACAGGAGTCCTCCTGACTGGAGGCTCTGTGTTTCCAACCCAGCCTCCAGGCAAGGCTCATAGGGCTAGTCTGCAGGAATCAAGGCTCAGTCAACAGTGCGTAGCTGGTGTGTGTGTCCCCTTCCTTCCCTTGGCCACGGCACCCATCCTGAATCAACTCTGCGGAATCCACCGAGAGCTCACGGTGCCGTCCACCCGTGGGAAATAAAACAGCTTTGTCACCTGACCCGAGAGCATTTCTGAAGACGTCACCCTAACTCCTGCTGTAATCTAACAGCAAGCCAAGCTGGTGCTGCCCAGGCCGTCCTCAGGAAGAGAACTGCAAACAGCTCCCAACACCCCACTCCCAAATCCTTACTCCTCTGTGTTGGACCGTGACCTCCCTCTGCGTCTGTGGAACTTGAAAAACACACACTGGTGCACAGCTTACTTAGGACTCAGAAATGTGCACCGTGTACCTTTGACATGGGGATGTCTGTCCCGCACCTGTTCTTGACCTTCACTCAGGGATTCTGACTCAGGTGTACGGCTGTTCACGCTCTGGAGCGCTGGACCCAGTCTGATTGTCTGGCGATGATGGATGGGTAAAGTGGATTACAGCGTTGGACAGCCAGCCAGCCAGCCAGCAATCCGATGTCGCCATTACAAAGCATTCTTCTGAAGAAAATGCAGTGACTGGGAGGAATGCTCACAGCATACCATGGAACAGGAAGACGCAAAACACAAGCTGGGTGTATCGGCGGTTTCCTTGGGGAGAAGGGAATCTGTCCTAAGATGAAGAAAAGTGGGAGAAAAGTGAACCAGCGTCTTGGTTGTGGTTCTGTCTCAGTGAGGGGACATGTGGTGACGTCTGGAGATGCCGTGGTCATCGGAATTGGGGAAGGTGCTTCTGGCATCCGGGGACATGGCACTCAACAAAGAGCTATCCCGCTGGAGATCAAGCAAACCGAGCCTGACAAACCTTTGTCTGTGATCACGGCTAATTTTTACTTCCTTTAGGCTGGAGCCAGGAGCCAAGAGCTTCATCCGGGTCTCCCACATGGGTGCAGGGATGCAAGCGCGTGGACCATCCCCTGCTGCTTTCCCAAGCACATTAGCAGGGAGCTGGATGGGAAGCGGAGCAGCCAGGGCTTGAACCAGTGCCCAGCTAGGATGCCGGCATCACAGGTGGTAGCTTAACCTGCTGTGCCACAACACCTCTTCCAGATATATACAGTATTTTTATTAGAAAGCATAGACACTAGGAGGGAGGTTCCGGTGCTGGGGATTCAGGGAAGACCAGCTCCAGGGCCCCAGCTCTAGGGAGGCAGTGACTGCGCCAAGCCCTTTGCTTTCTGGGGGATGTTCTGGAGAGTTGGGTCTCATCAAAAGAGAATAAAAAATGCAGGAAGTAGAGAGAGCAGATATATGCATTTGGACAGCAGCTGCCTGATTAATTCAGTAGAGTGCAAATCTTTCAAGTGGTGAAGGGGTAAGCATTTTGTTACCAAAGCTCCTACTTCTTTTTTTCCATTTGTGAACCTACTGAGCCAGTTATCCAAAAAGGGCGTTAATGGCTAACTGTAGAAACAAGCTACAAAAATGATTACGTGTTCACAGGCGAAGCCTGCCCACAAATATCCCCGAGCACAAGGAATCTTCAACAAGTTCAGAGAAAATTCATGCCACGACAACACTGGGCATGGATTTCAGATGAGTTTTGCACCAGAACAAATTTGTCTTTTAATTCCATTTTCCACAAACTTTTTTGGAATCCCCTCATAGGATCGGCTGTCTTTGGCTTGCAGAGTCATTGATTTGTGCCATCCTAGGTTATCAATTATATCTTTCCAGTTTTCATATATGTGCTGCCGAAGCGAGCCTGTATCTTTTTATTATTATTATTATTTTTATTTTTTGACAGGCAGAGTGGACAGTGAGAGAGAGAGAGACAGAGAGAAAGGTCTTCCTTTGCTGTTGGTTCACCCTCCAATGGCCGCTGCAGCTGGCACGCTGTGGCCGGCACACCATGCTGATCCGATGGCAGGAACCAGGTACTTATCCTGGTCTCCCATGGGGTGCAGGGCCCAAGGACTTGGGCCATCCTCCACTGCCTTCCCAGGCCACAGCAGAGAGCTGGCCTGGAAGAGGGGCAACCGGGACAGAATCCGGCGCCCCAACCAGGACTAGAACCCGGTGTGCCAGCGCCGCAAGGTGGAGGATTAGCCTAGTGAGCTGCGGCGCCGGCATCGAGCCCTGTATCTTAATAGTTACACCTAAGGGACTGGCGCTGTGGCACAGTGGGTTCAGCTGCAGGCTGCAGTGCTGATCTCCCATACGGGTGCCAATTTAGGTCCTGGGGCTGCTCCACTTCCAATCCAGCTCCCTGCTAATGCACCTGGGAAAGCAGTGGAAGATGGCCAAAGTGCTTGGGTCCCTGCAGCCACGTGGGAGACCCAGATGAAATTCCAGGCTTCTGGCTTTGACCTGGCTCAGCCCTGGCTGTTGTGGCCATTTGGGGCGTGAACCAGCGGATGGAAGATCTCTGTCTCTCTCTGTCTGTCTCTCTCTCTCTCTCTCTCTCTCTCTCTCTCTGCAATTCTGCTTTTCAAATAAATAAAATCTAAAAAACAAAGTTATATCTAATAATAATTAAAGCATTATTTTAATGTGAATGAATGCATGAGCAAATGAACACCAGCCCAGGTAGGGGTCAGGGTGCAGGTGGATAAAGTGGCTCACCAGAGGTTACAGGGACAGAACCCAGACCACCCAGCACCAGCTCTGAAAAGCTCTCTTGGATCATCCTCATCGGCACTGTTGAAATGTTGAGGTGTTTCATTTTCATGGAGATTGGGAATGTGTCCCCACCAAGCCCTGTCATGGCTGAGACTGCTGGCTGGGTGCGCAGCTGTTCTGCAGGTGCCTGCCCGCTCCTTTCTTTGCCCAGCGTGGGGGACCTGACCTGGATGGATAGGCACAGGTGGTGGTGGTGACCTGGTGCCACCCAGTGGAGGGTTTCAGTTCTGCAGCCTCAGGGCTGGTTGGAGGGAGGGCTCAAAGGCTAATTAATCCCCTAGTCTAGCCAGCGCTGCAAAAGCCAAGTCTCATTGCTTCCTGCCCACGAGGGCTCAATTGTTCTGGCTTTCCATGAACTCCCCTCCCCCCAGGAAGAGCATCTTTAGACACAAGAGAGAGGAAAGGGGCTGGGACAAAGGGCTTAGACACTGAAGGGACCCTTTGGAGAATGCAATGAAGGCAGAGAGATGCTAAATCTTCGCCAAGATGATAAATCTTCCTCCTCCCCCTGTACTCTGATAACATCGGTTCTGTCGCGAGTTTGCAGTGTTTGCCAGGCACTGAGACCTAGGCGGACGCAGCCCCTGCGTTGGTGGAGGTCTCAGCTGGTGTGGGAGAAAGCAGGAGGTCAGTGAGCAGGTGGTTTTGGCAGAGCTAAGAGCTGGAGGGAGTGCACGCTCTGAGGACCTAGCCCTGCGGTGGGCGTGGTGAGGAAATGCAGGAAGGGACAAGACCAGAAGGGTGAGCTGCTCTTGTGTGTGGCAGAGAGATGGGTTGAGGGAGTGGGGAATGGCATTCCTGGGGGAGGGAACAGCATACAGGGCTGCCTGGGGGTAGGAAGGAGAGCCAGGTTTCCTTTCTTTTGTAAAATATTTATTTTATTTATTTGAATGACAGTTACAAAGAGAGAAGGAGAGAGAAGGAGAGACATAGAGGTCTTCCTTTTTTTTTTTTTTTTTTTTTTTTTTTTGACAGGCAGAGTGAACAGTGAGAGAGAGAGACAGAGAGAAGGGTCTTCCTTTGCCGTTGGTTCACCCTCCAATGGCCGCCGCGGCTGGCGCGCTGCGGCCGGTGCACCTCGCTGATCCGATGGCAGGAGCCAGGAGCCAGGTGCTTTTTCCTGGTCTCCCATGGGGTGCAGGGCCCAAGCACCTGGGCCATCCTCCACTGCACTCCCGGGCCACAGCAGAGAGCTGGCCTGGAAGAGGGGCAACCGGGACAGAATCCGGCGCCCCGACCGGGACTAGAACCTGGTGTGCCGGCGCCGCAAGGCGGAGGATTAGCCTAGTGAGCCGTCTTCCATCCGCTGGTTCACTCCCCAAATGGCCACAACAGCCAGGGCTGGGCCAGGCCAAAGCCAGGAGCCTAGAACTCCATCTGGGTCTCCCACGTGGGTGTAGAGACCCAAGCACTTGGACCATCTTCTGCTGCTTTCCTTGGGTTGGAAGTGGAGCAGCCAGGACTCAGACTGGCACCGGTATGGGATGCTGGTGTCACAGGCGTTGGGTTAAACCAGCACGCCACAATGCCAGCCCCAAGAGCGAGGTTTTCAAGGAGCCCATAGAGGCCACCTACGGCTGTGACTTTACTAAATAGGCAGGTGTGCAAAGGAATGGCTGGAGGAGTGTCGGAGTTTGATCCTGCAGTGCTGGGAAGCCACTCAGAAGTTCACACAGCAGCACCTGCCTCGGGGAGGGACCAGGAGGTCACCGCCACCCTTCACCCCTCCACTGGGTGACAACAGAGCCCCAGGCTGGGATCAAGACACCAGGCAGAAATAAACAGAGGAGAATTGTCTGGAATCATGGGTTTCAGAATGTCTTTCAAAGGAGGAAGCTCTAGCCGTGGTCTTCTTAGCCCACTTAAGGAAACGCTAATCCAGTAGTGTCAATCTGTACATCAGATTATGTAGGTCAGAGCAGACACAAATTCCCCGGTTGTCCCCCGAGTGCTGACTATGTCGTCTTTTCTCCCCAATCCAAGATCCGCCCATTTCCCTCCTGGGTTCGTGGGTTGCTGTGCCTTTGAGTATTTTGCTGCCTTAGTTTTAAAAAAGTACTTTGGGTGAGCTTGTCACACGCTATACAGTTCACCCACACAAATGTCCAGTTCTGTGGAGGGTTCTAGCCCATTCACAGAATCGTGCTGCCATCCTCACAATGCTAGAATATTTTCATAATCCCCCAATGAATGCCCAAAGCCTTAGGCAACCACTCTGCTTTCTGTGTCTATGCGTTTGTCTGTTCTGTAGATTTCATCAATACGTGCTCCTTCCACTAAGCATCATGCTTCTGAGGTGTGAGTGCTGAACTTCATTCTTCATGGCTACATACTATTCCTTTGTGTGGCTAGACCCTTCTGTCTATATATGATCACTGTAGCCTCTCTTCTCCATCCTGCCCGCATTTTTTCTTGTCTTTCCTCATGTTGACTGTTTATCCAGAAGAGTCCATGTCAGTTGCGTTGTAGAAAGATCTGCATGCCTGACCCAGCTGTTTCCTCCTGCCCGCACTCTGACGAGGCTGTTTTAGCGAGAATACCGCGTAGGACATGTCGAGTGCTTCTTGTTGTGTGTTGTCAGCAAATGCCGAGTCTGGGATTGCCTAAGACCCCTGGTTAGTTGGCACCGGATGGAATTAGACACAGCTAATAGATGCTGCAGTTAGCACCCTGCTGGTGAGGCTGAGCGTGAGCTCTTGGTGAAGGCGGGGCCGACCAGAGTCCCTCTTTGCTGGGGTATGTTCACTGCCTCCCTGCCCCACCATGTAATTTGCCAAAAGTCTCCCGGGTTCTAGCGTGAGACCAGCTGAACACCCTGCTCCCTGGGCACCTGGGCACCCAGTACTTTGAATGCCTGCGATGATCCTGACCCAAATCCCGTTGTTACACTGGGGTCTACAAATAGCGGTTTTCTAAACCCCATGCACTGTTTTTATTGGCACCCTTCAGTCAAGCTGTGCCGGCCCCGTTCCCTGGGAACTGTTCAGTTTTCATTAAGTCATTGTCATGCTCAGACTAGTCCCACTTCCGGCCTGCAGGAGCCCCTCTGAGCTAACTCAGCATTCGCGCATCTTTGAATACTTCCGTGACCCCTGACCCAGTGATAGCCCAGGTTTAATCTGCACGTGGAATGATTCATTTCTGCAAGGACCCTGTTTTCCTCTTTGTGGAGAACAGTATTTAGAAATCTGTTGGGAGCTAGAAAGTGTGGGGAATAGTGTCCCGTTCCCCCCAGGCCCTTCGGCGTGTGTGGGAGGTATGTCTGTGTCACATGTGCATATGACATATGTACATGGATGGGAAACTGGAGTAGCAGCAGGCAACAAATATACCGCTGGGATGGTCTGAGACACCCTCCTCCCCGTCGCCGCCAGGCCAGCACTGGTTGGAATTGTAATCAGCCAGCAGGGCACTGAACACCCCCTCAATGCCACGCTTTGTTGTCCTGCCCTGGCCCAGGCACAGGGAGGAGGTGTGGCCTCCATGTCCCATCTCTTTTCCCAGAGCCCTGTCTCCAGTGCTTCTGAGACGTCCGTGCGTGGGTGACAGAGGTCTCTTATCCCCCTTGCAAAGACACCTGGAGAAATAGGTGTGCCAGGTCCAAACGTGGAGAGAGGGTGGGAGAGAGAAGAAGGCGTGGAAGCTGGGTGACTCTGCACGCGTTCGCTTTGTAAGCTTCCATCTCTGGGTCTGTAGAATGGCGAGACACCCACTGAATGCGCTGGGGCTGTCTGCACTGGAGGACGATACTGGGCGCCGAGCCTGGTGCCTGTGTGGTCAGGAAGAGCTCACGGGGCGTCACCCTTGCAGCTCTTGCTGCCTCCCAGTCGTCCCCTCGGCCCTGTCCCTATCACCTGCAGTAGCAGCAGGCTGGTCGCCCTCCCTGGTGGACTGCGGCTGGCTGTGCCGAGGGCATGGTGATGGCGGTTACGTAGGAGTGCCCGTGACTCCTGCCGTCTTCAGATTCCTTAGCCGGGGTCTCGAGGCCAGGGATCATCCTCTTGCCTGAGAACCAGGTGATCTGGGAAGCTCCTCTGTGCCATCTGTGAGTTGACCTTACTTACGGGCCAAAGTAGGGGCCGTCCCTTAGAGTGACACTGTCAGCAGGGCCTCCGTCACACTCCCCATCCTGGGGTTGTGCTGGCCTAAGGGTGAGGGGCTACTGCTGGAGAAGCCCTGTGTGCTTTTCTTGGCCCTTATCTCTAATCCCAACAAGGAGAGGATGAGAGTGATCACGTGTCCTGGGACACACACACACACACACACACACACACACAGAGGAAGCGGGACTCTGGCCCCTTAGCAGGTGTGTCTGCTGCCCAAGCCATCATGTGGCTCCAGACAGGGCGACCCACCAGCCCTGCTCAAGGGCCACTGCTGTAATCCCTCCCAGAAAAGCGGACGTTGTCCCCCGGGTCACAGGCTGCCTTGTGATCCGCGTGGCGTCCGCGCCTCTAGCAGCCTGAGGCTGGGACTTGGCCAGCTGGGCTCCGAGGTACCTGGGATTCTGGTTTTCTGGAAAGATGTCAAAAGGGCAGACTCAATGGAAACCCTGTCCCAGCCCAGGGCTGTAGGAGAGCTGCAAGGTGTGGAGGCAACCAGGCTTCACCCCCTGTGCAGTGCATGCTCCTTGTTTTCAGGGTTTTAGAAGAAGGTGTGCAACCCCGAGTCCCTGAGTCCCCCATGCCAGGAGGTGCCATCCTCCTTAACCCTCAACTCCCCAGTGGCTTCCTCCGTGCAGGCAAGCAAGCCGCCCCGTGAAAGCGGTTACCAGCAGAGGGCAGCGAAGGGGTTAACTCCCCAGCTCACAGACTGGGAGAAGAGGAGGGAGCCCGGGGTTGGAGGGAGTGCTCTGGGAGCCTGTGCAGCAGGCTGCCTCCAGTTCGCCCTCAGCCCGGGGGAGCCAGGCTCTCAGAGCATTGAGCTTGCTCGGGGTAGCCCTGCCTGTCCTGGCCCCGAATATGGTGACTTAGGAGTTGGCGGCAGGCAGAGTGTCCCCAAAGCCCCCACCAGGCCCTCCGCCCTCAGGGAAGCCGAATGGGGGGGACAGGCACGTTCAACATGGAGAACACACTTGATGATGCTTCTCACCTCTCTCCCCAGAACCTGGGATCCTCATCGCCAAGCAAAAAGCAGAGCAAGGAAAACACCATCACGGTAAGTGACTGGAGTGGGTGCCCCCCAGGCTGGACGGCAAAACAGGTGGGTGGGTGGGTGTGGGGGGGGTGGCGTACTGGGCTGTTGCCATGGCAACTTGCACAAGCCCCGTGTGCACCCAGCCTGGACCTGGGAAAGTTCCCCAGCTCAGATCTGGCTGGAGTTTCTGCCCATCCCCCCCCTCCTCCCTCCTCCCCTCCGTCTGTCAATTTCACATGTCACTTTTTCTCCCATGGCGAACCAATGGAAGGAGGCTGGGTGGGCTGTGCAGGAGCCATTTTTTTGCAGGGCACGTGTGGGAGTGGGTTGAAGGGGGTGGACTGTGCTCTGAGCCAGTGATGTGATGTGAAAATTATAGCCACGGCGGGGTGGCTTTTGTGCAGGGAAACTTCAGCAAGATGTCAAAGTTAAAAGCAAGAGAAAGCATCCTAAGAATAGAGTTCCTGGGAGTTAGGGACGGGCGGCAGGCAATCTTCTGCCTCAAGTGGCCAACCTGCCTTCCAAGCCCCCAAGGTAGGGGCTCAGGAGAGGTGGGGGCTGCATGTGGGTGCCCCCTCCAAGAGGGGAGACTTGGAGAGTCCCCTTGGCTCATGCAGCCAACGACTTGCAGCTTTGAGACATGCATCCAAGGTTTGCTATTTTGGCCCGAGAGCAACAGAAATGCTGGTCACCCCCACAGATAAAACCAGGAGTGGGTGCCTTACCCACCCCAAGTCCCCCGGCTCAAAATCTTGCTGTGGAAGAACAAGGGGGTTAAGCAGGCGAATCCCAGCCATGGCTGTAAGTGGTGCTGCGCGCGCGCGCGTGTGTGTGTGTGTGTGTGTGTGTGTGTACACATGTGGTAGGCGCCAGCAGTGGCCCTGCCGGCTGTCGGAGGTGTCGATGGTAGACTCGACAGGCACTTTGTGTTGTGACTGTGAACTTGGACTCAAGCCAGACATCAGTTCTGTCCTTCAGTGGCCGTGCAGCAGCCTCAGCATTCCCATCTGCAGAATGGACACACGGAGGACGTCGGTGTCGTGGGAAGGGTGCAGGGGCTAAGTGGGTCCCCACGTGTATGCACTTAGCAGAGCCTGGCTCTACACACACACACACACACACACACGATCATCTCCTGTGTAAAGACAGGGAACTTGAGGCTCCAAGGGGCCCCTCTCCCAACTCACCACCCCCCCGGAAGCATCAGGCGTCAAACCCTAGGCCCCCTTGCTGCTGGCCATGCCCCTCTGGAGCTGGCTGGAGTGGTGTGGGTGGGTGACCCCTCTGGATCTCTGTGTGCCAGTGGAGTTTTTTCTTGAGAGCTGGGCAGATGGTTCAGCCTGCTGGGGCAGCAGCAGCCTCCTTGTTACGAGAGGAGCTGGTGAAGGCAGGCAAGCCCCAGGCACAGACAGACCCCACCTCTGAATTGTCACAAGTGCCCCGGAAAGCTGGCTCAAGGCTGGAGCTCCCAGAAGTCTCCTGAATCAGGAGAGGAAGGAGGAGACTCCATCCTGCTGCTTGTCTCCCTGCACCTGCCCCTTCCTCTGTACCCCGTCCTCCTGAGCTCATGGCCTCTGCAGCAGGGAGACGCTCAGAGGGAAGGGATGGGTCCTGAGCTTCCATCTCCCTAGCACACGGGATGAGTGGAACAGCATCGTCCTACGCTGCCTAATTCCCCAGAGCAGAAACTCCGAGGCCTGGGCAGCATGGGGTGGTGTGTCCGGGTCCAGGGGGCAGGCACGGGCGGAGCTCGGTTCTGAGGCTCTGTGCCCCGGGGTTGGTTTTGAAGGCTCAGGCACAGAGCTGACCTGGCAGCCTGGCTCAGCTCTCGGCTCTGCTGTCACCTGTGTAGGGCTGGCAGGGCTATGAGATTGGGAGTGACAGCACCGTGGCAGCTCGCGGCCCGGTGAGACGTGTCAAGATTGGGAGGATTTCAGAAAAGACGACATCAGGGCCACCTGGTCACATCTCGTGGCTTCCTAGTACAGCCAGTCTGAAGCCCCGGAGCCCTGCTGGGAGCCTGGAGGCTGGTGCATACCTTTGGGGGTCTTTTCGTCTCTACTCCCAGGAGCCCCTAGTCCTGGCTTTTCCTCTCCCACATCTCTCCCAGAACAGCGTCCCTGCAGGAGAAAAGTCAAGGCCAGCTTGGCTGCAGCCCACAGTTGTCAAACCGGCTTTCTCCGTGCTGCCTACAGGCCGGGCAAGGGACGAGCCCCACCCACCCCCACCCCCGCGCCCCGGGCCAGGAGCCTCGGGGAGTCCCGCTGCATTTAGCGGCTCTCACACCCGTGGCCAGGTGCCTTGCTGGCTGCTGCTGTCCCCTTGGCTAGGCCCGCCCCACCCCACTCCCGAGAGCCCTTGTGGCCTGGTGGGCACTTCAGCTGCTCGGTGGACACCCCAGCAGGGGAAGCAGGGGGACAGGGCCAGCTGTTCACCTGAGTTGTCCCCTGTTTACTGGAGGCATGGAGAGAAGAGACTTGATCCAAGAGCAAGGATACAGCTGGCTGAGGCTGCTTGAGCCCGAGGGAGGTGGCGGTGGGAGTGGCTGCTGGCACTTGCCCTGAACAGTGCACTCTGGGAGGCATCCTCTCCTTCCTGAGCCCCTACCATGGAGAGGGTGTGGCACACCTACACCTAAGTCTGTTGGAAGAATGTTGTGATGAGTTAGGAGCCCGGCCTCTGGCTCCACCGTTACACGCGTGCTGTGTGCTGTTGCCTAAGTTACTTAACCTCTCTGTGCCTCAGTGCCTTCATCTGTAGGATGGTGATGTGAGGGTGGGCACAGAACTGCCCCAGGATGAGAGTCGTCGGCTTGACTTCATGGCTCTGCTCAGCCTGCAAAGCGCCCCAGTTCATCTCCTTGTTCCCTCTTTCCTACATTGTTCCCCAGGTCCCTGTTGGGCCTCCCCTGGTGGCCATGGCCACGCTGTCCCCCAGTGCACGATGCAGCAGCCCAGCCCTGTCAGCTCTTGCAAACAGCCTCCTGGGCACACGTGCAAGGCCCTCTGTTACCTCGGTTTTGTCCACTCCCTGACTCTGGCCAAGCTGATAGAACCACGGGTGTATCCCGTCCCCCTGCCTGGCCCTGCCCTTGCTCCCTAAGGACCCCACTCTCCCTTCAGGGTTCCTCCCCGTGAATCCCTGACCCGTTCTGCAGCCTCAGCACCACCTACCTGCTTTCTGTAGTGGCAGAGTCAGCCCCAGGTCTCCAGTGACTTCCTTATCCAGCCGCTGGGGACCAACGCTATGGCTTCTGTCTCTGGGCTGCAGACACAGAGAAGCATCTACTTAGCACCCATTGTGTGCCCGGTACCCCATAAACCACAGGGAAAAGATGCTGTCTGCCCCTCATGGTCGGGCCATTGGCAGGGAAGAGAAATGTTAACCAGACCACCACAGGAGCTGTCGTCACAAATGTCCACGTGCAGATGGCTGGGAAGGCGGCACATGGTGCAGGGCACTAGTAGCCATTCAACAAACACTTAAAGGGAAGTGGATGTGCAGATGGCACATCAAACAGCACTAGGTTGAGGGCTCTGGAGTCGAATACTGAATTTCGGTGATCCTTGATATCTTTGGTTAACATGTGGCCAGTGTCCCCTCACCCCCGGTGGGGTTGCCAGGCCAGTGGGATGAGAATGCATGCAAAGTTCTGGGCTGGGGACCTCAGCTAAGGCCCCGGGAACCCCCTCAGTTCTGCACCTCCCCAGAGAGGCTGGCAGGGTGCAGTTCTCCAGATGGCCACCAGGGCCTCAGGGCCCTGAAGGTTTGGGGGAAGACCCTGTGGGTGGGCTGGGAGTGAGAACTCCCCAAACCCGAGTTGACCCAGGCAGTGATGGGCGGGCTGGGTCCCCTGGCCAGTCCATCCGAGGACTCGAGTCCTCACGGAGTGGCAGAAGCGGCAAGATGGTCCTGACCTTCCTTCACTCCTCTGCCCCAACCCAGAGAGCTGTCCTTCTGTGCTGGTGACCGGGTCATTTGTGGGACCTCTCCCCTCCTACAACGATGGCTCTTCCAGTCTCCAGAGCAGATGTCCATCTGGAACCAGGGCTCTGCGTCTGGTTCGAGGCCTTTGAGAGGTGCCCTGGCCCCCCCAGGCCATCAGCATCACCTGGGAGCTCAGGTGAGCTCCAGCCACCTGGGTTTGAACAAGCCCACCAGGTGACTCAAAGGCTCCCCTCCTGTCTCAGCCCACTGCTGGCCAAGCCATGCCTCCTCCTGGCACGGTCAAGTTCTTCTTCCCTGGCCCTGAGCAGTCTGGGGGAGGGGAGATGAAGGAGGAGGGTGTGGCTTACACCTGCCATGAGCATAGTCAGCCCTCCGTAACCATGGGCTCCGTGTCCAGGATTTGACCAGCTGTGGATTGAAAATACCATCCCACCCCCCAATGGCAACAGCAAAAAGACCTTTATCTGTCCTAAACATGGACAGACCCTTTTTCCCTTGTCATTATTCTCTCACAGCGTGGTATATTTACCTAGCATCCGCATTGTGTTAGGTATCCTCAGGAACCCAGGGAGGATTTAACCCATACCCAGAGTGTGAGCAGCTCAGATGCAGATTCTACACCGCTTTATAATCGAGGACCTGAGTGTCTGTGGATTTGGGGACCCACAGGGGTCCTGGAGCCAATGCCCCCCGTGGGTTCTGAGGGTCCACTGGCCCATGGCTCTGCTGGTCACACGCAGTTCACTTTGCTGTCATGGTGACTGTGTCGCTACCTTGGACTGCTCTCGAGCTGCGTTATTAAGCTCAGGAAAGCAGGGTGTGATCAACACTGTTGTCACTGGAACGGCTGGAACCCGAACAAGGGGTTGTGTGCGACTTTGAAATCCATCCCACGTGGCTGGGAGTGTGAGAGAGACAGAGAGAGGGAGACGGAGCTCTTATCTGCTCATTCGCTCCCCCAAATGCCTGTGGCCACCGGGGCTGGGCAGAGGACCTGGAAACTCAGTCCAGATCTCCCCTCTCCCCACTCCCACTATTGGAGCCATCACCGCAGCCTCCCAGGGTATGTGCATGGGCAAAAGCTGGAGTCAGGAGCGGGAGCCCGGCTTAAACTCAGATCCTCCCACGTGGGATACAGATGACTCGACCTGTGTCTCACCTGTGAGGCCGAGCACCTGGGAAGGTGACTTGCCTCTGGACACCCTGGGGGAGTCACCCCCGAAATCAGGGCCTGGGGAAACCATTGCCCAAGGCTAGGCATTGAGAGGCTCTCTGGGTCTCTTTTCCAACTGTGGCCACTGTGGGCCACGATGGCCTGGGTGGCCCAGAATTGCAGGTGTCTGGAGAGAACTGCAGTCCAGGGCTCCCTTGGGCCCCCAGCTTGAGCTCAGCGGAGGGCAGAGCTGTCCATCTCCAGAGTTCTCTGGTCATCCCTGCCCCAGTCCGTCCCTCCAGGCTGGTCCCTGCTCTGCCTCCCACCCCTCTCCCCAGATGTCAGTATCCTAGAAGGGACCCTTCTTTTACCCAGGACAGACATGAGGCTCCCATGGACCGGGAGCCACCCTCAGGCCCCTAAACCTTGAGTTCAATGCCAGCCCACCAAATGGGGCCACTTTATTGAAAAACGCCAGCATGTAGCAACACCAGGTGCCCCATCCTGGCCTGACAGCAGTTGGTGAGAGCCGCTGTGAGTCGGCCCCTGGGACGTAGCTCCATGCGCCTGACCCCTGCCCAAAGCAGAGGCCGATTCCCCCTCCCCCACGCCCCAGTGTTAGCTTCTCTTGACCTTGCTGCCTTGTGTGTTTTGCCTACATCAGCACTGGCATTCTGTGCCCAGGTCTGGGGGTTCTTCCTTGCTCTTCCCTGTACCGTCCGAGGTCTCCCACGGATGCATTGGCTGCAGGCAGCGGGGTAAAGGTGCACAGAGCTCAGGCCCTGCTCCTACAGACCAGGAGAAGAGCGGGGGCTCAAAGCCACGTGAGCAGGAGCCACGGCAGAGCCACCTCCCTAGAGCGGCTAGGGCGGCCACGGGGCCTCAGGAGGTGGCTCAGGTACCCCAGACCTTGCTGCGCTGCCCGCTCCTTGGCCACGGCCAGCGCCCTGGGTGATGATGTGAAGCTGTGTTGGTCCTGTCCTACCTGTGAGATCAGATGCACCAAGGAGCCTCGTGACCTCTGACCTCCACCACACAGTGTCTTCCCTTGGAAGCAAAATCATGTTATCAACTTGTAAGCAGGATGCTGTACATAAATAACCAAATGCGTCTGTAGCATTATAACCCAAATGCTACCCTCCTATAATTCTGTTCTACAGCTTGTCTTTTCCACCCATTTAACAGAGTACCTTGGCACACTCCCCTTATTAATCAATAAGAACTTTCTCACCGTGTCCTTCCCTGTGGATATGATTTCTAGGGGTGTCTGTCTGTCTCAGACTTTGTGTCACCATTCCTACCAGCGACAGGCGGTGGGGTTGTGGTCCAGCCTTTCGTGGCTGTAGATGGTCGTGCCGCACATGTGTGCAGATACTGCTGCAGGGTGCACCTGCAGAAGCGCCATTGCTGGGGCCTAGGGTGCAGATGTTTGCAGCTGTGAGGTTGCCCTGGTTCCCAGATGCCAGCATGGGGCCCATGGCCCCTCATTTGCAGTGCCCATGGCCCTCATTTGCAGTGCTGGCCACTGGAGCATCTGAGTATCTCGTTGCGTGTTCTATCGAGCTGGCCCTACAGGGAGGTCTCTGTCGTGCTGTGTCCAGGGAACCCAGTCTTTCTTGCTCCTCCTCATCCCCCAGTGAAGTTGTTTTCCTGCTCTGTGCCACACAGATAAACTGCGTAACCTTCCCTCACCCGGACACGATGCCGGAGCAGCAACTGCTGAAGCCGACCGAGTGGAGCTACTGTGACTACTTCTGGGTAAGCCCTGCCTCAGTGTCCCCCACCCTGTGGCCCTGAGGACCAGGAGTGGACACCCAGGAGGGGCCCTGGCTCTTCAAGCTGAGGGTCTCCTCCTACCGGAGCATGCGAGACCAGTGGTCAATTTGGGAACCGTGGCAAGAACTGAAGACCGTCTCGGGGTCCAGACCATGGTCTGAATGGAGCGAGTTATCAGAGCAGAAGCTGAGCCAGAAGGCGGGGTAGCCATGGGGCGCTGACTTCCCAGCTCGGGGAAGGCAGGAGACCGCAGTCAGCCTCTGTGCATGGTCTGGGCTTCGCACCGGCTCCGCCACTGCTCTGACTTGGGACTGAGCCTCACCGTTCCCATCCAGGTCACGAGGAGGACCCTCAGCCAGGGATCTCTGGCGAGCTCCGGCTTTGGTCATTCTCAGGCCCCAGACTTTCTGCAGATCGTTTCACAGACACAGGGTTTCAGTTTTGCAAGGTGACAGACAGGCCTGTGAGTGGATGGTGGTGTTGGATGCACCACGGTGTGAGTGAATTTAATGCCACCAAACTGAACACTTGCACCTTCTGAAAATGGTGAAGTTGTGTCTGTGTGTCTTACCACAGTTAAAATACATGCATAGATTTGTTAAAACATTGACTTGTTTATTTGAAAGACGAGGTGACAGGAGAAGGGAGGGAAGGTGGAAGAGAAAGAGAGCTATCTTCCATCTACTGGCTCACCTCCCAAAAGACTACAACAGCCAAGGCTAGGCAAGGCCAAAGCCAGGAGCCAGGAACTCCATCCAGGTTTCCCATGTGGATGGCAGGGACCTAAGTACTTGGGCCATCTTCTGCTGCTTTCCCAGATGCATTAGCAGGGCGCTGGATCAAAAGCAGAGCACTCAGGACATGAACCAACACTCTGATATGGGATGCCCACATTGTAGATAGTGGCTTAACCCGCTGTGCCAATGTTCACCCCAGATTTTTCTTTTTTTTTTCTTTTTCTTTTTTTTTTTTTTGGACAGGCAGAGTGGACAGTGAGAGAGAGAGAGAGACAGAGAGAAAGGTCTTCTTTTGTCATTGGTTCACCCTCCAATGGCCGCCGCAGACGGCGCAGTGTGGCCGGCGCACCACGCTGATCCAAAGGCAGGAGCCAGGTGCTTCTCCTGGTCTCCCAAGGGGTGCAGGGCCCAAGCACTTGGGGCATCCTCCACTGCACTCCCTGGCCACAGCAGAGAGCTGGCCTGGAAGAGGGACAACCGGGACAGAATACGGCGCCCCAACCGGGACTAGAACCCGGTGTGCCAGTGCCGTAAGGCGGAGGATTAGCCTAGTGAGCCGCGGCGCCGGCCCACCCCAGATTTTTCAAAAGGTGTGCAGAATCCTGAATCTCAGAAACTCTAGGAATCCTTGAGTGTTTACATTTTCTTTATTTTTTTAAAAAAAGATTGATTTATTTATTTGAGAGGCAGAGTTACAGACAGAGAGAGGTCTTCCATCCCCTGGCTCACTTCACAAATGGCCACAGTGGCAGAGCTGAACCGATCCAAAGCCAGCTTTATCCTGGTCTCCCACGAGAGTACAGGGGCCCAGCCATTTGGGCCATCTTCCACTGATTTCCCAGGCACATTAGCAGGGAGCTGGATCAGAAGAGGAACAGCTGGGACTCGAACTGGCACACACATGGGCTGCTGGCACTGCAGGCGGCAGCTTTACTCACTACGCCACAGCGCCAACCCGTGTTCACACTTTAAGTCAGCAATGACCTTCAAGATTGAGACCCCTCCTTGTAGAATCAGATGCAATGGTTGCCCAGCCTTGTGCATTGCCCACTTCAGGAAGAAGTCTGCAAACACCCTGAGGAACAAGAAACAAATAGTTGTCACCACCGTGCAGAATCAATCATCCGTCCTTTTCTGGTTTCTTTCTCCAAATCATTCCCATTTCAGCAGATGTCTGATAAGTGGTTCCTGCGGCTCCCCAAGTAGAGATGGTGCCTTTCGGCCCCGCTGTGTGGCTTCCAGGATGAGATCTGTGTAGAGGTTCCCTAAATAATGTCAGAAGCTCTGGCTTGGGCATAGACAGACTGGGGAGGGGGCCCAGAGACCGAGCAGGAGCCAGAGTGTGGAAACTGAAACTTGTAGGCCCTGATAAGGATGTTGGAGTTTATGCTGTTTGCAAGGGGAGGCTGTTGGAGCCCCCAGTCCATCCACACACACACACACACACACACACACACACACACTTATTTGAAAGGCAGAGAGACAGAGGTCTTCCATCCACTGGTTCATTCCCCAAACGCCTGCAGCAGCCAGGGCTGAACTAGGCCAAAACCAAGAGTCCAGACGACATCTGGGTCTCCAGCGTCTCCCATGTGGGTGGCAGGAACCCAAGCACCTTTGGCAGGGCTGTCTGTTGCTATTTCCCAAGTGAATTAGCAGGAAGCTGAATTGGCAATGGAACAGCCAAGACGCGAGCCGGCACTCCTGTAGAAGCTGACCGCATCCCAAGGAGCGCTTTAACCCGCTGCACCACGCCACCCACCCCTGGGGGAGGGTTTTAAGCAGAAGTAGGGTGGGCTATGGTTTCTGTGTGTCACGCATGCGGGAGTGGAAGCTGAGAGGGGGGTGCAGAAAGGCTGGAAGGATGGTGGCAGCCACAGAGATCAGAGACGTAGCCGGATTAGGAAGTCAGCCCTGGAAGAGGGTGCAGCAGGTGGAACATTCCGGGGAGTGCGGTGTAAGCCCCAGGTAATGGGGCAGATCAGCGTGCAGAGGTTTGGAGGAGCCGTGGCAGCTGGAGGGAGCATTCGGTCCCGTGCCCTGGTCACAGCATTCGAGCAAGTGGCGCTTTTGAGTTCTCGTCTTCATTCCTCTCCCCTGGAGACTCTCGTGCTCGCTCGGAGCTTTTCATCTCCTGGCCACCAAGGCCTTGTCCTTAAATAGAACTTCCTGTCTCCTGACACCATCATTAAGGCTCGTGGCTTTCTGGCTGCTTCTCCCTGGAGACGGTGAATCACGGAGCCTGTCGGGTTGGAAGGGAGGCAGACCTGGGCTCAGTGTTTCCAATGGGGTTTGCTTTTTCAACAAAATGGGGTGTTCACGAGTGACACGCACCCATCTTCGTTGTGCATGGAGAATCTTAGAGCATGGAGTTTTCTCACTGTCACGGTGTTAGGGACCCTGTGACAGACAGGACAGACAGGAGTAGGGTTGGGCCGGAACACCCTTCATCTACCCAACAGTGGTCAGCAGGGTTTCTGCAAGGGCCCCTGCCCCCTTTCTTTTCACCCACGTGTCTGGTCTGGAGGGGGCTCAGGGATGCAGCCCAGCCCTGTTTCCAAGGGTGGGCAACACAGCCCAGGACGTGACCCTGTCACCCATGGCTGAACTGAGCTGAGAGCCTGGGTCTTGGCGGGCGCTGGGACAGAGGGCTCACCATGACCTCTCTGTGACATCAAAGCCTATTCCTCCCTCTTCCATGGAGGCTCTGAGCATTTGACCCTGGATTCCTGCTGGGGAAGGCCGTGATGGGGGAGAACACTTGTAGGTGGCGGCGATGGCGGCCAGGGGCTGGAGCAGCTCTGTGAGCTAACTCTCTTCAGGCGGATGCCAGGATGGATGTCCCGGGGCGGGGGGGGGGAGGCCGTGCTGCGGGTGCCAGGCAGGAGGTGGGGTGCAACAGAAGTATGCAGCTGTACTTGAGGAAGTGCAGGAAACAACAAAACTCATTTAATGTTGAAATTTTAAGAATCGGTGCTTGAAAAACGAATTGGGTTCGAAATTTCTATTTTGTTAACTTGGCCATCTTCCCCAGATCTCAATTTATTTGTTTATTTATTTATGACAGGCAGAGTTAGACAGTGAGAGAGAGAGAGAAAGGTCTTCTCTCCATTGGTTCACCCCCCAAATGGCCGCTGCAGCTGGTATGCATCGCACTGATCCAAAGCCAAGAGCCAGGTGCTTCTCCTGGTCTCCCATGTGGGTACAGCGCCCAAGCACTTGGGCCATCCTCCATTGCCTTCCCAGGCCACAGCAGAGAGCTGGCCTGGAAGAGGAGCAACCAGGACAGAACCAGCGCCCCAGCCAGGACTAGAACCCGGAGTACCAGCGCCGCAGGCAGAGGATTAGCCTAGTGAGCCACGGCGCCGGCTGTTTATTTTTAAGTAGCTAACAGTGGGCGCTGCTAGTTGAGTGCTTACGGTGTGCTGGGCCTGGTGCTAAGCCACTCATATACGTGTGTCATTCATCCCGAAATGAGGGTAGAAGGCTGGTGCCATGGTGGCCCCGTTGTGCAGCTTGGGAGCAAGCAAAGGCCTGGCCCAGGGTTACCCAGCTAGGAATTCAGTGCTGGCCCCAGCCTTTTCCACCCTGGCTTCCCTTCCGGCCAGGTTCTCCCCCTAGGGCTGCCGCTAGGACCATTGGATTTTCTGTACTGGAACCATCTCTGCGGGTGTGTGGGAAGAAGTTACTGCCGCAGTAACAAGTGCAAGAAGCTGGTAGGAGACAGGATGGTGCCCAGAGCCACCCACAGGCTGTCCCAGTGTAGCGGCAGAGCCCCAAGATTCCCCAAAGGACCACGCCAGGTGCAGCTGCCCCCTGGCTGGGGGTTCTGGGCTACTGGGGTTCACCTCCTGTGCCTCAGTCACCCACCCTTCTTCCTTGTTGTCCCCAGGTGGGGAGAGCTAAGGAGTGCATCAGTCTCAGTCTGCCTGTGTTACTGTAACAGAACCCGGGCCCTTGGTGATTCGTAATTACCTGGGTTTTGCTTGGCTTATGGCTGAGAATTCCACGCAAAGATGCTGGGGTCAGCTGAAGGCCTTCTTGCTTCATCAGCCCCTGAGAGGGGGTCAGAGAGGGCCTACCGTGGTTTTGTGAGAAATCCACTCCCGTGATTGCTACATTAATCCACTCAGGAGGCACCGGCATTGCAGCAACTAAAAAAATCCCATATGGACGCTGGTTCAAGTCCCAACTGCTCCACTTCCAGTGCAGCTCTCTGCTATGGCCTGGGAAAGCAGTGGAAGATGGCCCAAGTCCTTGGGCCCCTGCATCTGCATGGGAGACCTGGAAGAAGCTCCCGGCTCCTGGCTTCAGATGGGCCCAGCTCCTGCCGTTGTTGCCCTTTGGGGAGTGAATCAGTGAATGGAAGATCTTTCTCTGTTTTTGTCTCTCTCTCCATTCAAATAAATAAATCTTTTACAAATCCACTCGTGAGAGCCAAGTCCTCATGACCGACGCCTCTCTAGGGCCCCGCCTGTCTACACTGCTGCCTGGGGGATTGAGGTTCCAGTACAGGAGCTTAGGGTGGCAGGGACTGTTCCAACCCTGGCCACTCCACACAGCACCGTGGGATGGACGGGGACCCCTGCCGTGGGGGCGGCTGGGGGCGGGGCTGCCAGGTGCAGCTGGTTCTCCCTGGGTGCATGCCCCCCCAACCTGAACTGTGCTTCTGTCTCCCTCGCAGGCTGATAAGAAGGACCCCCAGGGCAACGGCACTGTGGCCGGGTTCGAGCTGCTGCTTCAGAAGCAACTAAAGGGCAAGCAGATGCAGAAGGAGATGTCCGAGTTCATCCGGGAAAGGTGACACGGCGGCCCCTCCCGGCCCCTCCCAGCCCCGCACACCCAGCCTCCTAGGAGCGAGAGACTCAGGGCTCTGGGGCAGATCTGGCCAACGGATGTGTGGCTTTGCCCTGTGTCGTATGTTTAAATACTCAGACCCACGTGTTTTTCTAATTGGGTAAAATCTGGATAGCTGAGAAAGCAGAAGGGTTGGCAGGATGGCCGACTCATCCCTCACACAGCAGCAGCTGGGGCTTCGTGGCGACTGCCCCTGCACAGGAGCCACGTGCTGCACTTTGCCACAGTCCCCACCACTCCCAACTGTCTCCCACCTACATAGACTGTGCGACCCCATTTTTTACCTCATTAGAAGCACTGTCCCTTCCCGTTACCCCAAAGGGAATGTTTCATTTCGATTTGACTTGGAGCCAAAACTGTGTCCCCCAGGCCAGGGGAAACAGAACTCCCCACCTCCACCCCTACCACCCCTGCCTTCAGGGGTTAGGACAGAGTTTGCTAACAGAGCTGAAGAAGCAGTATAATCAAAATGGACAGAAGTAGGGAAAGTTACAAAGAGGAAGAAACATCCTCCCAATCTCTCCAAGTTCTGAGACTCTCTCAAGCACCCAGACACACACACACCCACGTGCACACACCTCCACATGTGTGCACACACGCACCTTCATACCTGCACATACACTCCACACATGCACAGACCTATTCCCACATGGGTACACATGTACACATTTGCACATATCACCCTGCGTGTGCATACACACACATGCAGATGTGTGAACACACATCGGCACACAGTTGCATATATGCACACCTGCACACATCGCCATGTGTGCATACATGTACACACGTGTGAACACACACCTGCACACACAACCCCACATGTGCACATACATATAGGTTTCCAAGTGGCATTTCCAAGGCATATGGGAGATATTTGTAGTAAATGACAGCATCTTTTTTAAATATCTCTTTTTTTATTATAACCACAATAATCGAATAATAATGCTTTGGCATTTTAAAGCAGTCCCTTTCGTTGGGAGACCTATTTCCTATTTGTGTAATCCAGTCTTCATGTTATGACCCATTAAACCGGGTTGCCTGGCTCAGGTGTGAGAAAACAAAAGCGTAAAACGGGCAGAGGGAAAGAGGACTGTAAAAGCCAGAGCCTGGCCAGGCTGTGGTTTCTGTTTCCAAAGCAGCACGTGTTAGCAGGCACGTGGAATCTGCCACTGCAGAGCCCTTGTGGTCTTCCCTGAGGACACACAGACCCCCGTCACTTCTCCCAGTCCAACCTGGGCTCCCCTAGGGCAGGCCCAGGTGCAGATGTGGAGTGCGTGTGTGGCTAGGGGACAGACCCTGGGCTGCTGTGGCCATGGCTTAGGGAAGCAGAGCATGGTGGAGGAGGAGCTGCAGGTGCTGGAGCTGGATCTGCTGCCTAGAGAGGTCTCTTGGTCACAGTCTGCAGGTGCAGGCTGGCAGTCCCCAGGATCCCAGCAGCAGGAGGGGAGAGGAAGTGACAGGTCAGTCGGCCTAGGTCAGAGGATGCAGAGACAGGCAAGAGGAGGAGCGGAGAGCAAGGCCGTGCGAGGAGGAACCGGAGTGAGCGTCTTGATGCCAAATGATGCAGTAGTTATTAACCAGAGCACCTCCACCAGACTGAGTCAGCACTGCTGACGGCTCCAGTGTCAGGGGCTCTTCTCTGGGGCCGGCTGCAAGTGTGGTGAGCTCAGCTCCCATCTCCTACCGCAGCCCAGGGGTCAGCTTAGGTGGACAATGATAGTTTGACAACACACTTGACACGGCTATGCCGGGTGATCTAGAAGGTTCTGCCCACCGGAGGCCACAGCCAAGGCAGCTGCCCTCTCCTGGGAAGCAGACTGCAGCTCTGGATGCTGTCTGGTTTCCATGGAAACGCTGGTCCCCTATGGACTTGACGGAGATGTGAGGGTGGGGGTGGGGGAGACCCCAGGGAGAGGTTCTGCTCCTGCTTCTGAGGGTCAAGGCTGTCGGGGAGGTTCTGTTGTTGTTGGGGGGGGGGTCCCTAAACCCAGAGTTCTGGGGCTAGGAGGGAGAGGGAGCCACACAGACCCTGATGGTCCATCACAAATTGCATTCACTCACTTAAGGGCCGTCACATGTCCTACCCTGGGCCAGGAGCTGTGCCAATGACAGCTCCAAACCCCAATGCCCTAGAAGATAGGCAGAAATGTTCCATTGTACAGTGAGGTGAGAGCAATTAAGGCCATTTCATTCGTTTGTTTATTCAACAAATATTTGGTTTTTAAAAAGATTTGTATATTTATTTGAAAGGCAGACTTACAGAGAGAGAGAGAGACAGAGACAGAGCGAGATCTTCCATCTGTTGGTTCACTCTCTAAATGGCCACAATAGCCAGGGCTGGGCCAGGTCGAAGCCAGGATTCTGGTGCCCCATCTGGGTCTCCCACATGGGTGGCAGGGGCCTAAGCACTTGGGCCATCCTCCACTACCTTCCCAGGTGCATTAGCAGAGAGCTGGATTGGAAGCAGAGCAGCCAGGACTCGAACCAGCACCTGTATGGGATGCTGGCACCACAGCTCGCAGCTTCACCACGCCACAACTCCAGCTCCTCAATAGATAGTTATTAAGCACCTGCTGTGTGTCTGGTGGACAGATGGGAGCCACACACTGTCAGAGCTCACACGCAGGTTCTTTTTTTTAAGATTTATTTTTATTTATTTGAAATAGTTACAGAGAGAGGTAGAGACAGAGAGAGAGAAAGAGAGATTGATCGATCTTCCATCCACTGGTTCACTCCCCAAATGGCTGCAATGGCTGGAGCTGAGCCAATCTGAAACCAGGAGCCAGGAGCTTCTTCCGGGTCTCTCATGTGGGTGCAGGGGCCCAAGGACTTGGGCCATCTTCCATTGCTTTCCTAGGTCATAGCAGAGAGCTGGATCGGAAGAGGAGCAGCGGGGACTAGAACCGGCACCCATATAGGATGCCAGTGCTTCAGGGCAGGGCTTTAACCCACTGTGCCACAGTGCCGGCCCCACACGTGGGTTCTTGATGTGGCCTACATGCTCCCCAACCGTCTGTCACTGGAGAGCTGATGTGTTGGGTTTCCTTCCTTTGCAGGATAAAGATCGAAGAAGAGTATGCGAAGAACCTTGCTAAGCTCTCCCAGAACTCCTTGGCTGCCCAGGAGGAAGGGTGAGTTGGGAGGAGAGTGATGGGAGCAGAGAGGAGAAGGGGCACGGAGGAAGTGGATTCCCTTTCCACCTATGGTTGATCACTGGCGTCGGCGCACATTGGGGGAGGGGAGGTGGAGATTCCCATAGGAGTGATTCAAGGTGGGTGCCGTGCCTCCAGGTGTGCACCTGTACCTCCAGGCGGGCTCACAAGGCTCAAGCTAGGCACTCATAAGTCAATATGTGCACCTGTGGCTCAAGGTGGCACTCATGGCTCAAGTTGTGTGCCCGTGGTCCAAGGTGTGGGCATCCACCATCAAGGAGGGCACTTCCACATTGTCTTCTCTCTCTGGAAGCCAAGACCCTCCTGCCTGTCCCCTGGCACCTGGGTAGCAGCCTCTAAGCACCCCGCCCTGCTCCCCTTCCTCTGAGGCAGGCTGGGAAGAGCCTGGGTGTGAGAGGATTTTACGCCTAGTGCCTTATTGGAAATCTCTCCTGTGGGCCTGAGACCCAGGCTCCCTTAGCCGGCACCAGCTGTAACTGTGCAGACCTGCTGGCCTGGGCGATACAGCCCGAGCCTCCCAGGCACTCACGGATCCCTAGAAGAAGCATCCTGTGTGCTGTGAGGTAGCAAAGTCCATGCCCTCCTGCACCACTGGCGGGAATGTGAAGGGTGCAGGCCCCATGGAAAACAGCTGGGCAGTTACTCAAATAGTGGAGCACTGAATTATCATATGACCCAGCCATTCCACATGTACATGTATGAGGACAAGCCTTCACGGGGCTCGTATATGCACAGTGGAGAGCTGTGGATCCATGATGGAGTATTATCCACCCATAAAAAAGGAGCGGACCCCCGATGCTTGCTGCTATGTGGATGACCCTCAAAAACATTAGGCTAAGGAAAAGCCAGACGCAAAAAGTCCCATTGTATAAGATTCCAATCAATTGTTGATTATTGATTATTCCAGAATAATCAAACCCAGAGAGACCAAGCAGATTGCTGGCCCCCAGGGACTGGAGGAGAGGCGTGGGGGAATGACTGCTTAATGGCCGTGGGGCTTTCTCTAAGGGTGCACCTGTCTGTTCAGGCTGCTTAACAGAATGCCACCGATGGGGTGGCTTCAGTTTATTTTTGCATGGTCTGGAGGCTGGAAGTGCAAGATCAAGTTGCCAGCAGGGTTGGTGTCTGGGGAGGGCTCTCCCAGAGGGTTGCAGACGCCGTCTTCTCTCTGCATGCTCACCTGACTTCCCCTCCGTGTGTGCAAGGGGTTGGGAGAGTGCGAGCCAACTCAGGGGTCCCTTCCAATAAGGACACGAACCCCATCAGATCACGGCCTCCACCACTGGGACCTCGTATAACCTTCCCCAGACGACAGCGACACCGGGGCCAGGGCTTCCACATTTAAATATGGGGGAGAGGCAGTGGGAATGCAAACTTTCAAGGTGTGGAAAGTGTGTGGGCTGTAGGTAGAGGTGATGGTTACACAACCTTGCAGACCTGAGGGTGGTAGAGCGAGTGTAATAAGACTTTGACCTCAATAAAAACAATAGGCCCTCAGGAGGTTTGCATAGAAAGGGTGGTCCCTTTCCTCTCTGGCCTGTGCTGGTCTCAGTTGGGATTCATGCTGCAGGGGGAGTTGAAGCCCTGAGGACTGTCAGAGAGCTATGATGGTAAACACAGATCTACAGGCCTTTAGGGGATAGAGACTCTGCCAGCCAAATGTGGCTTTGATTAAAGCCTCTGCATGGGCTCACGGTGCAGCCAAGTGGTCTCCCCCGATGGCTTTCACCAACCCAGCCGGCCACGGAGCCAGTGTCTTTTCCCTGGGCTCAGTGGGTTCCTTGCTGTCCACTTCTGCTCCCTGCACCAGGGCCAAGATGGGGGACCAAAAGGGGCATGGAGGGGAGCAGCCTTTGCGGCCTGGGAAGGGGGTTTGCCCCAGGATCCCCATGCCCTGCATCCACTCGGCTGCTCCTGAGTCTTCCGGCTTCCACTCCCCGGCCTGGGCTGCGGCCAAGGACACTGTGTCCTGCCAACAGGCACAGCGTATGCTGCTAACTCGAGCCGCCCAGCTCCTCACCCCGGGCCTGCACCGCCGTGCCGTCAACCCGTGCATGTGCAGACACCAGCACTCTAACACAGGCTCCCACACGTATGCACCTGTACGTGAGCATGTAGCCTGTCGTCCTTGCACACACACACACACTCCTACCAGCAAGCCCCAGGGCATGTGTGTGAGGCTCCTACACACACACAACAGTGGGCAGCAGTACTGTTCTGCATATACACATGGCTTTGGACGTGTGACCTGGGCAGTCCAGCTAAGACACTTGCAAAGTGCGAGGCTGCAGCTTAGAAACGTGGGGCTGCAGACAAGATGCTGATCCCGGAGACCTGAGCTTCGTTTGCAACCCCAGTGCTGCGTTGAGAGGAGATTTCACAGGACATGTGCACATTGGTGGATATACAGAATTAGATTATTTATTCTGCCTTCAGTTCTTCTCTCCTGGGTGGAAAGCAAATGGAATTGTGGTCTTTCCTGGCTTGGCAGTTATGACAGTAATATGCATTTTGATTAGACGTGCCTCAAATTGTAGGTGGGAACAGAAATCTTGGGGGTGGTTTTTTTTTTCCTTAACCTCTTAGCAGATGAGAAATGTCTCTTCAAATGAGAGAATTTACAAGTTGCACTTTTTTTTCTGAATTTTGAGGGGCCCCATGGACCTGGGAGACTGGGGAGGGGGAGACAGGTGTGGGGCATGCCGGCTGGAGGGGTGTCTCCCGCTCAGGAACGGGCCGCGCGCCCTGCTGGCTGGCGGCTCTGCTCGCACAGACCCTGGGCAGCTCCCGGGGCCTTCCTGCAGCTTCCGCAGCCCTGGTGTGTCCCTTCTGCAGGCCACTGCTGGCACACACGCCCTGCTCCCCTTCCTTTCATCACGGGCCCGCTGCTAAGACCGCTTCTGCAGGCTTAGTGCTGTGTGGGCTTGCCCTTTGGAGCACATACTTGTGGGTGTGGGTGGCGAGGGGGGTGCGGGGGGATAGGCCAAGGTTCTCTTCCTCCCTGTGGGACCCACTTGTCTCTGCACCATTGGTTAAAAAGGCTGTCCATTCCCCTCACGCTACACATCCATCTCCCAGATCTGCGTGACCCCACCGTCCGCCCCCTGTACCTGCAGGTTCTCCATCCTCAGCTTCAACCAGCCATGGATCCAAATTATTTGGAAAGAAAAAAAAAAAAAAAAAAAAACGAAGTTGTGCCTCCTCCCCGTGGACAGACTTTTTTGCCATCTCGTTATTCCCCGCACCGTACAGTATCTCTGCTGTTGCCGTAGCAATCATACTGTGTTCTCAAAGTCATCTAGAAATGATTCCAAGTATCCAGGAGGGTGGTGGTGTAGATTGTAGGCACACATCATGTCATATTGTATAAGGCGCTTGAGCACCTGCAGATCTGGGTGTCTGGGAACCAAGGCCCCCAAGGCCTGATTGTATGGGGTCCCGCTGACCTGTGTACCTGCCGTGGCTCCCCCTTTACCCACCTTTTGCCTCAAATGGGGCCCAGGCACCCACAGGGTGCACAGCATCTTTAAGCACAGATCACCATCAGCAGCTTGGATCACTCCCCCCCTCCCCTTCACACTCCGGCCCTTTTGTGGTGAGCCTCCCCAGCCAGTGTCCCCAGAGGGGACCTTTCTCTCTGCTGCCCGCTGGCCTCTTGAGATCAAATCAATCCCTACCCACAAACCTCCAGCCCCGCCAGCGCCAGCCCCAGCCGCAGCCGCAGCCGCAGCCACCAGCCCAGGCCTGGCCAGCCTTCAAAGGGAGCTGCTCTGCTCCCAGCCCAGCGCCTCACGGTATATTGTCTTTGAATCAGCTTTTGCCACTCAAGTTAATGAATTCTCTGGGGGTGTGAAATGAAGTCAACTGAACGTTGAGCCTGGATTTCAGCCGGCCGGGCTGAAGAGGGCGGCCAGCAAGGCTAAAGGGTGGCAAAGAATAAAGACGGCGTGGGCCTGCCTTGGAAAGGCTGGGGGCGGGGCAGGGGGGGGCTCCTGCAGATTTCTCCTGTCTGAGCACCTCTTTGGCGTGGTGGAGGCGTTTCGTGCAGAGGACCTGGCTGTAAGCTGGGGGCGGTGTTCGCCTCCTGGGCTGTGGGGATGGCCGAGGCCGAGCCTAAGGCTGGAGCTGCCAGCCCCCTGCGCCCCAGGTGCTCGCTCTTTGCTCCTCCTGGAAGTCGGGCAGCTGTGGGACCTTCCCTGCAGAGAGGAGTCTGTTCCTCCTTCCTTGCCATCACCAGCAGGCGTTAGCATTAGCAAACCAGGGAGGGGAGGGGGTGAGGCATAATTGGCCAGGTGGCCAGTGGCCAGCCGGCCGGCCATGGTAGGGGAAGCTTTGGGACTGGAGCCCACCCTCTCCCTGCACCTCCCTCCATCCCGGCAGGGCTCTGGCTTCTGGATATTTCCCCAGCCACCAGTGTGTCTGCTGCCGTCTGTTCCTTTAGCCCCAGAGGAGGGAGCTTCCCTGGGCACTGAGGCGTGGTGGCTCGCCCCGCGCTGGGGGTTGAAGCATGGTGCTCACGGCTTTTTTCTACCTGGCCTCTGCCTTGTCCGGGTCTGTGGCTCCCTGAGACGCAGGGTGGGGACCCACCTTTGTGCAGGTGCAGCCATCTCTGGGCCCCCCACCCCCACCCCGCGTCTGACGCTCTGCTTTGTGTTGTAGCTCCCTGGGCGAGGCGTGGGCTCAGGTGAAGAAGAGCCTGGCGGACGAGGCGGAAGTTCACCTCAAGTTCTCCGCCAAGGTAATCCTTCCCCACGGCCTCCCTGCGCGTGCCCCTGAGTGGTAACCGCAGTCACTCCGGTTGTGGTCGTTTGCCAATGCCCTGATGTAAATTCCTTTTTTAAAAAAAATTTATTTATTTATTTGAAAATCAGAGTCACTCACAGAGAGAGAGAGGGGGAAATGCACAGAAAGAGATCTTCCATCTGCTGGTTCACTCCCCGATGGCCACAGTGGCCAGCACTGAGCCAAGCCAAAGCCAGGAACTCCATCAGGGTGTCCCTCATGGGTGGCAGGGGCCCAAGCACTTGGGCCATCTTCTGCTACTTTCCCAGAAGCATTAGCAGGGAGCTGGGTTGGAACTGGAGCAGCCAGGACTCAAACCAGCTCATATAGGATGCCATGTTGGCAGGTAGCGGCTTTACCTCTTAAGCCACAGCGCCAGCCCCACCCTGGTGAAAATTTCAAGCTGCCAACAAGAAGCTTCTGACAGCAGAATTGGGAACAGGTGCATAGTAGCCCACCACTGGAAATGCCTCACCACACAGGCACAATAGTACAGCTAACCAGATGTATCCACCTAAAGTGCTGGGTATTTATTACTTTGTTTTTAATATCATTTATTGAATTGTAGGCTTATATCCTCTTTTAGCAGTGGCTGTGATTAACAACTGGCTCCCAACATGCCTGGGAATTGAGGGTTGAGATCATGGGAGGCAGCAGGAGCCAGCCCAGCACACACCTCTGTGAGGGTGGTGACCCCTCAATTTCTTGTCTATTCTTCTGATCTGACCAGCAGATAGACAGAGACAGAGAGAAAGGTCTTCCTTTTCCGTTGGTTCACCCCCCAAATGGCCACTACGGCTGGCGCACCACGCTGATCCGAAGGCAGGAGCCAGGTGCTTCTCCTGGTCTCCCATGGGGTGCAGGGCCCAAGCACTTGGGCCATCCTTCACTGCACTCCCGGGCCACAGCAGAGAGCTGGCCTGGAAGAGGGACAACCGGGACAGAATCTGGCGCCCCGACCGGGACTAGAACCCGGGCTGCAGGTGCTACAGGCGGAGGATTAGCCTAGTGAGCTGCGGCGCCGGCCCAACCCCTCAATTTCTTAGGGGGAAGACCAGAGTGCTGACATCAGTACGTCAGAGGAGTGGGTCAGCTGGTTCTGTCACGTCTTGGGTGATGAAAAATCCTACACCATGCCGAAGGTGTAGGATTCTGACATTTGTCAGAATGACTAGTTGGCAAGAAGCTGGCCACTTGGTACTATCCGGCTGCTCTGGAAGCATCGCCCACTCTCCTTGGCCCCTGGGCTACAGGGAGGGTCCCTTGGGTGAGCAGGGCACAGGTGCTGCGGCCCCATCCAGCCCGGGGAGGTGCGGAACCTCAGGAGCCGTGCCCCTGGGAGGGGCCCTCCAGTCTCCACAGCCCCCACCCGCACCCCTCACCTGTAGACCGTGTTCGGGTCCTCTTTGTATTCTGAGCACCGGGCATGTGGTAGATGTTCAATGAGATAGACGTGGATGAAGTTCATTACTGAACAACCGTGTACTGAGTTTCATACAGCAGTACAGCCAAGGCTGTGGAGACACATGGTTTCTGTCCCCAGAAAGCTCCTGGTTAGGAAAGAGAAAGATGAGAGAGAGAGAAAGAGAGAGACCGAGAGACCCAAGCAAAGCTCTGCAGGAGGCTGTGGAACATGTGTAGGTCCCAGGAAGTCATGTGTGTGTTCATTAGCTGCAATGCACGCATTCAGTACTGTGCCACCTCGCGCCATCTCCATCGGTGACACACTGCTATCCAGGGATACTCCCAAAAGTTCACGGGCAGTGGAATTAAAGGACAAGCTTACCCTGGTGCAGAAGGTTTAAAAATCCATGCACTTGGCCGGCGCCGCGGCTCAATAGGCTAATCCTCTACCTGCGGCGCTGGCACACCGGGTTCTAGTCCCAGTTGGGGCACCGGTTCTGTCCCGGTTGCTTCTCTTCCAGGCCAGCCCTCTGCTGTGGCCAGGGAGTGCAGTGGAGGATGGCCCAAGTGCTTGGGCCCTGCACCCCATGGGAGACCAGGAGAAGTACCTGGCTCCTGCCTTCAGATAAGCGTGGTGCGCCGGCCGCAGCGCACTAGCCACGGTGGCCATTGGAGGGTGAACCAACGGCGAAGAAAGACCTTTCTCTCTCTCTTTCTCTCTCTCTCTCACTGTCCACTCTGCCTGTCAAAAAAAAAAAAAAATCCATGCACTTGAGGCATCTTCAAAAGCAGATCCTGAAAACATGCATGGATTCAGGAATATTTCGCACCAAAGCCGACTTTGCTTGTAATTCCATTTTCCCGCCAAAGTGCTCTCACACCCTAGTGCTCCCGTGAGATTGTGTGGCCTAGTGATGCAAATACACACTCTGACGCCACTTGTCTCCAACTTCCTGTCGGGCCACGCCCCTGCCCCTGGCCGCTCTGCAGGGGAAGCCGGGCTCACGCCCTGGGGTCCTGAGTGTGTCCTCCCCTGCCCCGCACAGCTCCACAGCGAGGTGGAGAAGCCATTGATGAATTTCCGTGAGAACTTCAAGAAGGACATGAAAAAGTGCGACCACCACATCGCAGACCTCCGCAAGCAGCTCGCCAGCCGCTACGCCGCCGTGGAGAAGGTGAGAGGCCGGGACTCGGGGAGCAGCAGGGAACGGGGACCTCCTGGGGGAGGCTGGGCTTGGGCTGGGGAGCCAACCCCAGGCTCCCAGCACCCAGGCCAGGCCTTTGTCCCCGCGTGATGGGGTCAGGAGGGTCATCTCAGCCCCAGGCCACACCTGAGCACCCCCCCACCCAGGCCACGCGGGTGACGCCCAGTGGCTGGTGGGCACCAAGTGAGCCGGCAGCCGCAGATGACATGGTAGGCAGGTGACCCTAGGCAACCCCGTGGTTGCGTGACGGCCGAGCCTGCAGGTGCTGTTGGCACACACACCTGGCCCCTGTGCCCGGGTCTCCCCTGCAGATTCGCACCTCCCCACATCACATCTGGAGATGCACAGTGGATCATAGCCCTGCAGTCACCCATGGGTGGGCGACTGAGGGCCAGCCCTGGAGGGAAGAGGGCTCTCCCCATGGTCTGACCCCAGTGCCTTATAGAGAAGGCAGGGATACGCACTGCTGCAGGCCCCTGGGACCTGGCCAGTGGCCGGCGACCTCCACGAAAGGGAGCTACTGGTGGCGGCCAGGAGGCTGGGGAAGTAGGGAAAGGCAAGACAGCCGCTTTAAGGAGTGGACGTCCCTTTCACCCCCCAAGAGCAGGTGCAGGTCCCGATGATGAATCCCCACGCACTCCCCTGCCACTCTGGCCGCCGCAGTGGCATCAGCCACACCAGCATGGCCAGGCCAGGGGAGGGCTCGCTGGGGGAGTGGGAAGCCCCGCCCCACCCCGGCTCCAAGCTTCGTGAGCAGCTTCCCCGCGTGTCCTTGACCCCAGGCCCGGAAAGCTCTCACGGAGCGGCAGCGAGACCTGGAGATGAAGACCCAGCAACTGGAGATCAAGCTGAGCAACAAGACCGAGGAGGACATCAAGAAGGCACGGAGGAAGTCCACCCAGGCTGGTGCGCTGGGCCCCGGGAGGGAGCGGACAGGGCCCACCCTGGGGTGCAAGACAGCAGGCGGCCCTCCCCTCCCTGTCTGCCCACCAGGGCCGCACCTCCTCTCCACTCTGCCCTGCACCCAGGGACCTAAAAGGATGAGACGTGGGTGATAGGGTGCAGGCCTGGGGGTGGGGGGAGGAGGGCTGGGCAGTTCCTGCTGTCCTGTGATTGCAATGCATGCTGGCCCAAGCCCTGGGCAGATCTCTGGCCAGGAAGCTACCAGCCTCTTCCGTGCGCTGAGAGCTCAGGGCCCACAGGAGAAATGCAAACCCCCATGCACCCAGGCTTCCCAGGGGAATGAGCTCCTGCCCGCACCACAACCATGGGGCCCAACATTTGTTCCAATAATAAGGTTGCGGTTTCTCGCGGATATTTATATCCTCCAGTGATTTGGGCTCTAGTGCCACCTGGTGGCAAAACTTGGTAATGCACAGGAGGGCAAAGAAAACCTCTTAGGAACCATTGAGACACTCAGCGCTTCTGTCCTGGGACTCCCTGCAGACTCCCAAATCCAAGGATGCTTGAATCCCGTATGGATGACAGCTCAGCATTTGCATATGACACACAATCTTTCTAGCTTAAATCATTTCTAGATGACTTACAAAACCATTAGGTATTAACCAGGTAAATGCTATGGAAATAGTGGTTCTGCTGTATGTTTAGGGGAAAAATGACAAGGAAAAAGTCTGCCCGTGTGCAGTGCAGGTACATTTTTTTCCCTGAATATTTTATATCTACAAGTGGTTGAATTCACAGATGCGGAACCCACAGGTACGGAGAGATGACTCTTTTTTAAAAAATTTATTTTGAAAGAATGTACAGAGAAAGATGAGAGAGAGAGATCTTCCATCCACTGATTTCACTCTCCAGATGGCCACAGTGGCTGCAGCTGGGCCAGGCCAAAGCCGGGAGTCAGGCAGTCAATCTGGGTCTCCCACATGGGCAGCAGGAACCCACTTATTTGAGCCATCGCCTGCTGCCTCCCAGGGTCTGCCTTAGCAGGAAGCTGGAATTGGAAGAGGAGCCAGCACTCGAACCCAGGCAGTCCAGAATGTGCCAAGTGGTGTCGGAGCTGCTGCACCAAATGCTCGCCCTCAAAGAAGCAGTGCTGTAGCATTGCCTCTAAATCCAGTTACCCATCCCTTCTGACACATCCGGGCTTTTAATGGTTGACAGGAGTCTCCAGACGTGTTTCATTGTACCCCTAACTGGTTTTGAGGGCTTGTGGATTGTTCCAGGGTGTTTACTGAGACCAGGGATGCTGTGTTACCCTGGCTGTATATTTGTGTGCCTGCCTAAGACCAAGTCTGCACATGGACAGGATACAGACGCTGGGTGGGTGCGTGTTCCCACGTTGCTGTCCAGAAGGCGTGCACACCCATGCAGGATTCACCTCCGCCCTCACATTTCTGCTTCTTCATGCCCTTCAGAGATCTTCCTTCCACTGGTTCACTCCCCCAAATGGCTGCAACAGGCTCCGTGTTGGCCAGGTGAAGCCAGGAGCTAGGAACTCCATCCGGGTCTCCCACATAGGTAGCAGGGACCCAAGCACTTGGGCCGTTGTCCTCCGCTCTTCCAGGTGCATTAACAGGGAGCTGGACCGGAAGTGGAGCAGCCAGGACTCAAACCGGCATCCCAAGCAATGGCTTTACCTGCTAAGCCACAATGCTGGCCCCCAGAACCCATGTTTCTTACCCGTACTGTTGAGAAAGGTCCCATTTCAGGCCATTGAGTTGCCATGGAGAGGACACACATCCTCTGCACCCAGTCTGTCTCCTGAGAGTGCTAAAGCATGTTCCGGAAGCCGTGGATGGGTGGGACTCCAGGAATGTCACGGCAAGTTCTGGACACAGATGCCCTTGCAGAGTGGCATCTACCTGGCTCCGCTTGAGACCAAAAGCCCAGGAAATCGGCCTGAGACCCAAAGCAAAATGAACACAACCCTAACTGGGCTGTCATCCTGCAGCTCGGACTTTGAGGTGTGCGGCTTCCTCTTCCGGGTGAGGCCCAGGCAGGGGCGTGGTCATGGCCCAGGGGGGAGTGGGGACCCTGGAGCCAGGCCTTAGGTTGTGTGGACACAGATGTCCTTCTCGTCTTTCACTTTCCTATCAGAACGCACGGGAGCAAGAGGGATGATACAGGAATATTTTTTGCATCTAATTGAATCACTAGATTCTCCTCCAGAGTTCTCCTTCTAGAATCTTCTGTAGAGCTCTTTGGGGACATCTGTTAGCATTGGGAGCCCTGTGCCATCAGGAAGCTGTGATCAGCATCGGAGCAGTGCTGCTCCAAGCACACTGTGCACGGGTGTCCCTGGAGGATGCTGGGAAATTGCAGCTGAGAAGTCACCAGGAGCTGAGCAGGCCCTGGGCTTCGTCCTCTCGCTGCTGGTCCCCACCCTGGGTCCTGGCTGGCAAGGCTCTGGGGTGCCGGTGGGCTTCAGCTCTTTGCTTCCTAGCCACAGAGTGTCTCCAATATGTCTCAGATTCCTGCCAGTCCTAGACCAGCCATGAAGATGGCCTGGTTGGGGCAAGCATTTGGCCTGGTGGTTCAGACGCCTGTGGCCCACATCAGAGTACCTGGGTTCTAGTCCCAGCTCTGGCTCTTGACTCCAGCTGCCTGCAACACAGGAGGCTGTGGGTAGCAGCAGGTGACAGCTCCAGATGTCATAGTTAATGTGTGTTGAGTGCTAACTGGGAGGAACTAAAGGGGCCTCCAACCCACCCTTTCTCTGTTTCCCCTCGTGTTGGCATGTGGCATCTTAGGATGGGTTTTGCGTGGTCACTGCATGAAAATGAGACACGTGAGTGAAAAACCAGACACGTGACCCTGAGACTCAGAATGACTTCCTGCTGCGGACACATGAGATGCACACACACTCACACACACATGCACACACACACACACATGCATATGGCATAGTTGGCCAAGCTTCTCTCCTCTAATTAAGAGTAAGTTGCTAGCCAGCGCCATAGCTCACCTAGGCTAATCCTCCGCCTAGCGGCGCCGGCACACTGGGTTCTAGTCCCAGTTGCTCCTCTTCCAGGCCAGCTCTCTGCTGTGGCCCGGGAGTGCAGTGGAGGATGGCCCAAGTGCTTGGGCCCTGCACCCTCATGGGAGACCAGGAGAAGCACCTGGCTCCTGACTTCGGATCGGCGCAGCTTCAGCTGTGGTGGCCATTTGGGAGGTGAACCAATGGAAAAGGAAGACCTTTCTCTCTCTCTCTTTCTCACTGTCTAACTCTGCCGGTCAAAAAAAAAAAAAAAAAAAAAGACGCAAGTTGCTGTGACATGTGTTTTAGCTCCAACATGAATCGCACTGCGTTCTGAGAGAGGGAAGCATCTCTTAGGCTCCTTGTAGACGTGGGGATCCTAGCGATGACTCCTTCTCGCTCTCAACGAGAAACTCTTGTCCTGAATTCCAGATTGAATAGCGGTAGAGGCTACGAAGTGGCCTCCCCAGGTGCTGGGTTGTCCCCCACTCACCCCACCCCACCCCACCCTTCTTTGTCTCTGCTTTCCTTTCCTTCCCCCTGCCCCTCTCCCTGTCTCTATTCCCCATTGGCCCCCCGGACCCCAGGGGGAGGGGAGGGCAGCCTGGAGCGGGATGGGGCGGAGGTGCCCATGTGACGGAGGCTCTGGGCCTCTTCCAGGGGACGACCTCATGCGCTGCGTGGATCTCTACAACCAGGCTCAGTCCAAGTGGTTCGAGGAGATGGTGACCACCACGCTGGTAGGTGGCTGGGGATGTCCGAGCTGCCCGGATGGGGGCGGGGACGGGGCGTCCCGGGTGGCTGGCCGGAGGGGGGACGTGGAGGTGGCTATGGTGGAGATGGCTGTGAGCTCTGTTCCAGTGTTGGGGTTGAGACCTCAACGCAGGCCATCTAGGTCAGATCCTGCTCTGGGGCTTCCCAGCTGTGTGTATGCATGCGAGGGTCAGGGCTTCTGTGTCCCCCCCTCCCAGTGGAGGACTCCCCTGACCGAGAGGATGGTGGCCCCAAATTTAGGACAAACAGCCAAGTGGTAGGAAGAGTGATCCCCTCCCCTCTCCCTCCCCACCCCCAGCACAGGTGCAATGCTTTGGTAGGAGACCCTCGCAAGGTACACAAATGGCTAAGGTTGGAGGAACTGGCCAGGGGATGGGGAGGCCTCTACTTGGGACGTGGGGTCCCGAGGCGCCCTCCTGAGCATTTATCATAAAGGGGCAACATCTCCTGGGCAGTCAGCATCCACCCAAGGGGGGCAGGGAGGCGTGGCTGGCACATGGGCCTGCAGCCCCCGTGGGAGAGCGACATCATGCAAAGTGCCAGTCACCTGGTACCCCGTCCAGCCAGCGCAGGACTTAGCGAGCCGCCCTCCCCAGGTGTAAGCCCACCAGGGATTAGCAGCCTCCCCTGTATAGGGTCAGTGACCCGGCTGTCCTCCTGTTTAATCTCCTCATTAAGCCCCTTGCTCACCCTCTTTCCCGGTTAATCACCTGGGCAGTGACCTAGTTATACACAGAACAACAGCCTGATCCCCTAAATTCCAAAGGCATGGAACCATCTAGAAGCCAAAGGACGAAGCTTTCCACTCCTCCCTTTGCCAATAGCTGCTCTGATCCCAGCCCTGGTCTCTGCTCCGTCTTGGCACTAGGCTTGGGCAGGGCAAGGCAGGGCAGGGGCAGCCGCAGGAGGATGAGGGCGGATGCTATGTGTGTCACATCAGGGTCCTTGGGGTGGGCTGCATCAGTGGACAGTCGTGAGCTGGAGCCTAGAGGACCCCGGTTTTTAAGCCTTGCTCCTCTAAGAATTTCGTGTTGCTTTGGGCAAGCCATGTCTCCTCTGGACGTGTTCGTTCCCTTGCTTGGAAAATGGGCATAATCGCCAAACCTGTTTCTTAGAACTATAATGAGGACAGGTGGGTGTTGCCAGGAAAGCTCTGGGCCCTGTGCCTGGCAGAGCAGGCTGTTGGGAATCAAACAGCGGCTCCCACGCTCATCCCCTTCACCTTCGGCCCTAGGTAAGGGCACGCTTTTCTTCGGGCACAGGAGGGTACTCACAGCCGGGGCTGCTCATGGGTGGATACGGTGGGCTGGGGCCCACTGTGGGGATGGCCCCCAGGCTCAGAGGTCTCCGGTCCATTCTTCCCTTGGCAGGAGCTGGAGCGGCTGGAGGTGGAGCGGGTGGAGATGATCCGGCAGCACCTGTGCCAGTACACGCAGCTGCGGCACGAGACGGACATGTTCAACCAAAGCGTGAGTTCCCCACGGGCAGGCCAAGGCCAAGGCCAGGGCCAGCAGGGCCCCTGGGGGACCCAGGGCCACAGAGGAACCACCTGGCGCTACACCATGGCAGGTTAAGGGGCTGCTACAAAGGAGACTGTCCCGAGGTAGGCAGTGGGCAGGTGCCCGGGCCTGAGGATGGCCCGGCACGCGTGCATGCGTGAGCCCATGAGCTCCAAGAAAGTCGCCCAAGATGTCACTGCCTCCCACGGGGAGTTCTGAACCAAGACGCTTGTAGAAAAAATTCAGAATCCCTGACGCTTGCCCTGGGGTCTGGCGGCTATCGTGGGGGCACGTAGAGGAAGAGGTCACAGACCACGAGCCTCCACAGTAGCTGGCACCCTCGTCCACTCTCGGGGCTCTCTGTCCCCTCCCCTGCCCTTCCCCAGGGCCCTGGACCCTTACAGAGAGGCTGCTCTTAGGAGGAGGAGGAGACGTCTCCAGCGTGGCCGCCGCCTGTGACCCTGTCGCCTTTCTCTTTACAGACAGTGGAGCCTGTGGATCAGTTGCTTCGGAAAGTGGACCCGGCCAGGGACAGGGAGCTGTGGGTCAGAGAGCATAAGACCGGCAACATTCGCCCTGTGGACATGGAGATCTAGAAACATCTGCATGGGAGAGGGACTGGGGGTCCCACACAGGGGGAGGTGGTCATCCCTCCCCCACCTCCCGGAAAGGAAGCTGTCCTCCCACCCACTCTCCCGGCCCACCGAGGCGCGGGGCAGGCTGGTCGTGACTGCAGGACAACCTGGACGGCCCAGCTGGGGGACTCCCCAACATTCCCAAGCCAAGACGACGGACCCACAGCCCTGCCCTTGTCTCCAAGGCCAAAGCCCCCCAACACCCCTGCTGTGCTCGCCCCCTCTGAGGACAAACTGAGGCTGGAACTTGGCGGTCCCTGCTGACCTCTGGAAGGGTCACTCACACTTGCCAGTACCCCCCCACACCGGAAGCCCCAAGGCGCATGCCCCAGCTGACCCTCTGGTCCTGGGGCTTGGAGGGTCAGGGGAGGGAAGTCTCCGTTTCCAAGTCAAGATCAGCATCATGGTTAGAAGGGACCTTTGGGCCCACAGCTCACTCCCAGAATCCTTTGCAGTTGGCCCTCTCTGTTGTTCCCGTTGCATTCTGGGAGCCCAGGTCTGGCTTTTCCCAGCCCCTTTTCATCCCCCAGGGTCTTTGGGAGGAAGGCCTGGCTCTCCAGACCCAGCCTGCCTAGGGAGATGGGGATGGAACTACCTCATTCGGCAAATCGGCTCCAAGGTGAAGGCACTGAGTTGGTTCCCAGCAGGTCAGGTGCCATCTGGGAGGTCTCCTGTAGACCCCAATCTACCCACCCCTCAGCCCCCGCCCCGACCCTGCTACACCTCCCATCCCAGGCGAGGAACCCAGAGTTCCCAGCCAACATGACCTCCCACGGCTGTGCCAGTGTCCAGACGAGAGCGATGGATGTGAACCAGCCAAGCACACAGGGCCTGCTGGGTCTGCCCGCCGTGGCCAGAGCTCTCCCAGGTCGCACACCACAGGCTGTTGATGGGGCTGGGGCAGTCCAGTGTGGGAGCGCGGTGGGACACAGTTGTCATCCCCAGAGGGTTCTGTCTGCTCGCGCATGACAAGATTGGGAGCTGCTGTCCATGGCACGGCTCGCTGTCCCTGGTGGGCACTGGACAGGCCTCGCAGACCCCCTCACGGCCACAGGTGAGACAGCAGTATCCCGCCACCTTTCCACTTCTTCTGCAGCTCCTCCTGCCCCTCCCAGAGCCCCAGGCCAAGCATGGAGCTGGCGCCTCCTTCCCCCTCTCTGTCTTCTGGAAAAGCAAGCGCTGAGTGTGACTTGGGAAGCTGTGGAACCAGCACATCCCTTTCTCTGCCGTGGCAAAGGTGTCCTCCCCGAGGTTAGCACAGAGGAGAGGCGGGACCTGGAGGAAATCACACAGCTGGGAGCCCGCGCCCTGAGGCTCATGCTGCTGTCCTAGTGTCCCTCTGAGGACTGTGGGAGGGCAGAGCCCACCGGTCCTTCCCTCACTCCGGCCCGTGACTTGCTCATCTTTGAGTCTTTGGCCACCTCCTTCGCTGAATCAGAATCGCTCTCGCATCCTCTGTGTTAGGAAGATACCCCCCTACACTGACACAAACCGAACGGCCGTCTTCCCCTTTCTTCTGGAAACATCCCAACCCCAAAGGGCCAGCGCCTCGAAGCAGATGGGTCCACAGCGAGGTCTTGGGGCCTCGACACCAGCTATCGATGTTAGGATGCTATTTCCGGATTCCTTTCTTCCGAACAGGTGCTAGCGGTGAGGTTTTTGCAGCCTAGTAAACTGACTTGTGGATGAATTTCAAACTCTCGAAGCCGGTGGCCTTGTTATTAACACAGATATGTGGAGCGCGGTGGGGCTCACTGTCTCCTCTTGCCCCTCTGAGGATTCTAGAATCTTCTTTAGTCCCCTGGGATGGGATATGTGCATGCGATTGCTCATGTGGGCGTGCGTGCGCGCGCTCTCTCTCTATATATATATAATCTTGCTCTCACCTCTCGCAGGGCAGCCCAAGTTGGCCCAGTGGGCCCGGTCCATTCCTTGAGGTCATTCTTTCCGAAGCCTCATCCCCTCTCCTCCTCTTGGCCTCATCCCAGACTTCTTCTTCTCCCCCTTCCCTCTGTTATTCTCCTATCAGGCATTTAAAGCAGAGGAGCACGCCAAGATCTCATCTGAGGACAGGATGTGGCCGGGCCATCAGGGAAGGTGGTGAGCTCTTGGGTAGACCTGTCTTTGCCACGGGGGCCATGCGAGTTGCTAACCTTGGCCCATTCACAGAGAACTCTGTGCAGGGTTTCGGCTGTCAGCGGTACTGTCTGTTCCGGGTGATCTGCCTTCAGCTACCCACTCATTCCTTCATTCAACAGCTATGTAGGGCAAGCCCAGCTCTGTGCTACATCGTAGATCTGTAGCTGTGTGCAAGACAGGCACCCTCCCCGACCCCTTCTCTTCTCCTGCGTGTGGACTGGGGCACCTGTAGACCTCTCTGGAGACTAAGAACATAGCACGCTTCCCACATTTGACCCCCTGGGATTCTTTCATGGTGATACAGACGACCGCTGTGCCGCACTTGGCCGGTGGCAGCAACAGGACCTCTGGTGGTCACCAGCCCCCCACAGCCCACATCCAACTCCAGTTTCAGAGGTTTCTTTGATTGGTGTCAGGAACTCTGCTTGTTCTACCTGTCCCCACCTGGGAGACACTGATGCACAGAAGTTGTGTCTGTGAAAACCAGATTTAAAAAAGAAAAGAAACACTTGGGGTGGGTGCATGGTGTTCCGAGCAAGTTCCTCTGACAGCCTCCAGGAAGAGCCACCTGCCACCTTGTTTTTTTGTTTCAAGGGCTTTCGATCAGGACCACAGCGCACTGGCTGTTTGGGCCAAGTGGATGGCCGCCCCTGATGGGGTGACCTGGGCCTCCCTCCTACCTCCACTCAGCACATACTTCCCGGCTGCTCGGGGCTGATGAATGGCCGGAGCAAACAGAAACCGTACAAATTCAGGAGCCAGGGGTTTGTTTCTGTTCTGTGGGTAAAGGTCAACCGATGAGTGGATGGGTGCGTGAAAGTCGTGGCTGAGCCGGAGTCCCTTCATAACGTCAAAGATCTGGGCTCATTTAGGTGGTTTTAGGTCCAGCTGTGAGGCGCTTAAACAGGGGCCTGAGGACCTGCTGGTTCCCAGGTAGGGAGAGAGCACACTTCACAAGCATGAAGCGGGGTGCAGCCGAGCAGCGTGCACGCCTGTCTGGACACAGTCTCACTCATCATTCCGGGGTAATTGTACTCAGTTCTGTGAACTTGGACAAGTCTCCCGGTCTTCACCATCATCACGCCCCCCAGCAACCCTGATTGCTTTACTAGCCCTAGAGTGTTGCCTTTCCTAGAATGTCCTGTAGGTGGCGTCACACAGAGGGAGCCTTCTGGTTCGCCCTGGATGACGTGGCTGGCAGTAATCCCTCCCTTTTCATTGCCATACAGCATTCTTATGTTGAAAATCAATCATTTGTCCTGGAGGTTCCCGGCCCGGCGTCTTCACCCCACTGTTTCCTCTGAATGCCAGCTCTGTCCACAAGTGGTTCTTGGGGCTCATACCGGCCTTTCGGTTTCCACTTAAATTTTTGACAGTGTAGACAACAGCCAGGGTTGGGGGGGAGGGTCTCAGGTGCCTCCAGCTGCTGCAGCCTAAGCCTTGCATCTCAGCTAGAAGCTGCCTTCCCACCCGAGACCCCCCTTCTTCAACCCAGATGGTTCTCAGGCGCTGGGGCCGGGGGTGGAAGCAGCATGGATGCAAAGGTGACCACTGGCCCTGGAGCTCCTTGTCCCCCCTTCTTGGAACTGCCAAGGGAGGGTGTGTGTTCCCGGTGGTCTCTCGGGCCGCCAGGTTTGTTTCCACTTCTGCAACCGCTGCACTTGGAAGTACCTAATGTGGGTAGTGTGTGCACAGCTGGGCATATGGTGGCCAACGTCTTCGTGGGAGTTGCCCTGGAATGTCCAATCTCAAACACAGCTAAAAGTAAGAGTTTCCCCAAGCTGTTAAGAATGAGGTAGTTCCTCCTGGGACCGCTCCCACCCCTCTCCCTCCCCTGCCCCTCCCCCCCCCCCCAAAAAAAAAAAAAAGCTGGGTCTCCACCATGGATCTTTGATGGTGCAGAGTCTGGCCCCTGCCCAAACCCCACTGGGTGGTGGCCAATGGAGGCAAAGATGGGAGTGACCCAATCAGGGCCAGGCCAAGCTGTGGGTGTGACCCCCCCCAAGGCAGCCATTCCCCCAAGCTGCCTGGGTCATTGCCTGCTCACTTGGAAGCAGGCCAATCCTGGAAACCAACTGGGCAGCTCTCCCAGGGAACCAGGGACGTGCCTGGATCCAGGGCCCTGAGGTGGGGAGCTGAGGGCCTACACCTCCAGGGCTTTCCCAGGGCCACCGTCCATAGCTTTCCCCGGAGGGAGGGAGGGAACACAGCTCTATCTCCCTGTGTGGACATCAGGGTGGGGCTCCGGTTGCAGCCTTCCGGGAGTGTCTTGGGTGGGTGGGGGGGGCTGTGATAACCTCTGGACTCTGGTGTTGGGGGCTGGGCACTGACCCTTTGTGTTTGGGACTGCGGTGGTGGGCTATGGAGGCCATGGGACCTCAGTGGGGAGGTTCTGGTGGGGACCAGCACAGGACCAGCCCTGCCTCGCGGCCTCATCTGTCCCCTAAGCTGAAGCCAAGTAACATCCCCTGTCTGTCAAGTACCCCTTCCAGTATCTTGGGCCCCGTGGCTTCCAGACGGCCGTGTGGACCCAGGGACAAGGGTCCAAGGGCAGCAGCTCCCGCCTCGGCGACAGGAGCCCCACCTGTTCCCCTCCCCTAGGAAGCCGATGACGACTACAACAACCGGAAGACCCCCCCCCCAACCATGTCAGACATGAGCACATCAGCACACCCTGCAATCGTGGGATTTTCTAACAAAATAAACCGGCTTGTTTGGTCTGTTTTCTGTAACTTTTGCTAAATACTTTATACATTTCTAACGTTGAAAAGCCGTGTCTCCCCGCCAGCGTAGGAATGTTGTTCGCTCCACCCTGTAGACCCATCTACCTTCTGGCTGCCCAGGTCTGGACATCAAAGCAACCTTCTATAATTTATAAGTAACACTGTTGGAGCTCAGATCCGGAAGGAGGCTGGGACCCGCCCCTCCCCACCCCCCAACAACAGCACTTGTGTGTGTTCTTGCTGAAGAATTAAATGTTTCAAAGAGTTTACATTTGGAAGGCGTTTGTTACCTGTGATTGTCCCACAGCGTGATGATTTAAGGAAGGTAAATGCACTCTGCATCCCGCCCCCCTCAGCTTCTGTGTGTACACTTCAGATGCTTAGATTAACCCCCCACTCCCATCCCCCGTGAAATAAACCCTCCAGAGAGACTGGGTCCTACCAGGCCACCGTCCCTCCCCAGGAGCTGGTCTCAGGATTCCCGGGATTGCTGGTTGCTTTTAACACTGGCTACTTGGCAGAGGGACAAAGGCCACCATGCTGCTGGCCACCCCTGACCCCTGCCAACTTCCAGTCTCCATGGGTGCCAGCCCCTCTGCCCTCTTTCCACCCCTGGGGCTGCTGCCGGCCATTGCCGCTTCTCTCACCCATCTGTTAGCCATTCAGTAATCACTGGGCACCTGCTGTAGGCCAGACACGCCGTAGGTGCTGGCCGCTCGTCCGTCAATGAAGCAGAACAGCGCCCTGCCTTCTCGGAGCTGCCGGTCTAGCAGGGAGAAAGAGAAAAGCAGAAGGCCTGGCGACTGCCTCCTGGTGCATGGGCCAGGGCAGGGGTTCAGGGTTAGGGGGTGGAGAGTCAACATTATGTAGGGTAGTTGGGCAGGGGTTTGGCCTGGTGGTTAAGGTTAGGTCACCCACACCCCATGCCAGCATGCCTTGGTTCCGCTCCTGATGGCTGTTTCCAACTAATGCGCACCTGGTGAGACAGCAGCTCATGGCTCAAGGACATGGGTCCCTGCCACTCACGTGGGAGACCTGGGTTGAGTTCTGGGTTCCTGGCTTCAGCCTGACCCAGATCTGGCTGTTGTGGGCATTTTGGGGAGTAAACCAGGGGAAAGGGATTCTGTCTCTGTGCCTTTCAAATTAAATAAATAAACAGGGGAGCTGGAGAGGCCAGCTGGAGGTGGTGGCATTTGATCAAAGACGAGGAGACCTAGGATGGAGCCTGGCAGGTGGCTGGGGGGAGAGTGTTCCCGGCAGAAGGGATGCTGGCCAGGAGGGAGGGATGTGTTGAGGAGGGGCTGCAGGGTTGTCCTGACCATGCCAGGCCGTTGACTTGTGACCTAGGGGAATGACCTGCCGTCCTGCTGGCTCTGGGACTCCTCGCGGGGCTGTAAGACACAGGAGACCTGAATGGAGGGAGAGGGTGAGGTCCTGCACGTAGACTGGAGTAGGCTGTGACAGAGACGCACAGGGAGCCCGGATCGCAGTGTACCATGATGGGGACGACCCCCATCTATCTCCCCCGACCCCGCCCCACCGCCAGACCCCCTGTGCCTGCCCGGTGCAGGCTCCTCTGCAGGCCCGGCACTTGAGCTGGTCTGGGGGCAGGAGGACCAGGCTGTCCTTAGCTCGCAGCAGGACAGGCATGAGATGGGCCCAGCCTGTGGGTAGCTCTACTGCTTTGAGTCCAGGGCAAAGCCAGGAGAGGGAGACAGAGGCAGCCGGTACCCGTAGGGTTTCCGGGGAGGGTTTATGGCCCCAGCTCAGACTTAACAAATCCACTCCCCGTACATCATCCCCAACAACTTGTTTGGCTAAGGAGCACGAGCCTGCCCTCTGAAAGAAGCTGTTTATGCAGGTTTTCAAACAAACCTCCAGGTCATGAACCTCCCCCTTCCCCAGCACATCAACACAGCTGCCTCTCTCCATCCTGTCCCTTCCCCTCGGTCCCCAGCCATCGGTGGGGGGTGGGGTGGGGCACAGCAGCCTGAAGAAGGTGGCCTGGACCAGGCTGTTTCCAGCCCCTGGCTCCTCCGCCTGGGACGGCTTCCCCTACCCAAGTCCACGGGGCCTCCTCCGCTGTGCTCCTCACCGGGGGCTCCGGGGATGCTGGGGCCTCCTTGAGGAAAGTGCGTGCGTGCGTGCGTGCGTGTGGTCCTGGGCTTCCCTCCTGGCTTCCACCGCGTGGCCTGGGGCAGCCACGCGCCTTTTGGAGCCTCTGCAGAGCAAACACTGGCATCGCACAGTGAAAGCCTGCAAGCAGAGAAAGGGCTCCTTGTAAGAAATATTCTCTCGGAATCTCTCTGGCCCACGAAACCCCGTAGGCCTGCAGCAGTCACAGTGGGAGGAGGGGTGGCTCAGTACCGTGCCTGACCTTCTGGGTCCTTCCTGGGGAGCCCTGGCACGTGGCTTTCTCCCCATAGAGGGGACCTGCCTTCCTCTGCCACCAGCCTGGTAGGAAACGGGTGCCAATTCCAACTCACCTGTCTGCTGACTGTGAGGGTTCTTGTGGATCATGGCCACTAACCCCCCACCCCCGGGCTAGGAGGTGACAGTGCTGCCCGTGGCCCTGGCCACGCTCAGCCCAGGGCACTACCGAGCTTCTCCAGGGCAAGGAGCGCTCGGGTGCACCGGCTGCTCACGGCACTCCTCCCACCATTCTGTTCCCACCACACCTTCGCTGATGGTGGTGCAGCCCGCCTTTGTGCGGCTCCCATCATTGGCCACTGGTGCCTTTATCCGATCTCACTCAGCCCACCTGTGTTACTGGCTCACTAGCTCCCGGCGGCACCACCATGCTGGGCTGCAGGCGGAAACAGATACAGATTTCTCACCTTCACCTGCACCGAGTCTTCAAAGAGTTTGAATTGGGGCCGATGCTGTGGCATAGCGGGTAAAGCTGCCACCTGCAGTGCTGGCATCCCATACGGACGCCGGTTCAAGCCCCGCTGCTCCAATTCTGATCCAACTCTCGGCTATGGCCTGGGAAAGCAGTAGAAGATGACCCAAGTCCTTATGCCCCTGGACCCCTGTGGGAGACCCAGAAGAAGCTCCTGGCTTCAGATTGGCCCAGCTCCAGCCATTACGGCCATGAAGGGGAGTGAACCAGTGGATAGAAGACACTCTCTTACTCACTCTTGCTCGCTCTCTCTCTTTCTGCCTTTCAAATAAATAAGTCTTTTTATTAAATGTCTGAATTAACTGCCCAGATTTAAAAGTGTGAAAATGGCACCTAAAACTCAGATTTCTGACTTCCTCTGGAATAACTCAGAAAATCTCTCCACCCAGGGCCACACTTCTCAGAAGCTCCTTCCGTGTGAGACACAAGCCTCACCACTCCCTACTGCTTCTCCCTGAACCTCTACTGTACTCAGTCTACCTGTTGGCCCCGTTAGCAGGTTTTTAAATTAGGTATTTTTTTTAAATGCAGAGTGACAGGGAGAGCAGAGAGAGAGGTCTTCCATCCACTGGTTGATTTTCCAAATAGACACAAAGCCAGGGCTGGGCCAGGCTGAAGCCAGGAGCCAGGAACTTCTTTCAGGTCTCCCATGTGGGTGCAGAGACTCGAGCACTCAGGCCATCCTCTGCTGCTTCCCCAGGCACATTAGCAGGGAGCTGGATCAGAAGTGGAGCAGCCAGGACTTGATTGGATGCTCAGATATGGGAAGCCAGCCTCGCAAGCAACAGCTTAACCCACTGTGCCACAATGCCAGGCCTGCAGTTTGGTTTTTGATAACTGTTATTTAGGAATAAGTTTTAAAAAATAAGATGAATGTTTTTGTAAAACTCAGAAATGTATATTATGAAAAAAAAACTATGCTTAGATTTCCAAATCTTTTTTGCACCAGAATCATTTCTTCTATTAATTCCATTTTTGTACGAACATTTTGTAGCCACCTCGTATGTTTAGCACAGGCTGTGTGCTGGGCTCCACTCGTAAGTGTGCTGCACCCAGTAACTTCTTTCAGCCTCACCTTGACAATGAGGAGGGTGCTATCGATGCCCATTCATGGGACTGGCGCTGTGGCGTAGTAGCTTAAACCTCTGCCTGCAGTGCTGGCATCCCATATGGGCACCGGTTTGAGTCCTGGCTGCTCCACTTCCCAGTCAGCTCCCTCCTAATGCACCTGATAAAGCAGCAGAAGATGGCTCAAGTGTTTGGGCCCCTGCACCCATGTGGGAGACCCAGCAGAAACTCCTGGTTCTTGGCGTCAGCATGGCCCAGCCCTGGCCATTGCGGACCATTTGGGGAGTGAACCAGTGGATGGAAGACCTCTTTTTCTGTCTCTCCATCTGTCCTTCTGTCTTTGTCATTCAAATTAAAAAAATTTTAAATGCCCATTCATTAGAGAAATATTTATTGCAGGGGCCGGCGCTATGGCACCCCAGGCTAAAGCCCTGGCCTGAAGCGCTGGCATCCCATATGGACACCAGTTCTAGTCTCAGCTGCACAACTTCCGATCCAGCTCTCTGCAATGGCCTGGGATAGCAGCAGAAGATAGCCCAAGTCCTTGGGCCCCTGCACTCACATGGGAGACCTGGAAGAAGTTCCTGGCTCCTGGCTTCAGATCAGTACAGCTCCGGCTGTTGTGGCCATCTGGGGAGCAAACCTACGGATGAAAGACCTCTCTCTCTGTCTCTACCTCTCTCTAACTCTGTCTTTCAAATAAATAGAAAATCTTTAAACAAATATTTATTGCCGACAAAAGCCTTCCTGGCATTCTAGCAATGGAGATGCAACCCCCCCCACACTCCCTTTTATTAAGAGAGCTCCCATCTGCCAGTTCACTGCCCAAACACCCACAACAGCCAGGATTGGGTGTGGCTGAAGCCGGGAGCTGGGAACTCAATCCAGGTCTCCCATGTGGGTGGCAGAGACCCAACTATGTGAGCCATCGCCTGCTGCCTCTCGGGGTGCACATGAGCAGGAAGCTGGCGTCAGAAGCCAGAACTAGCACTTGAACCTGGGCACTCCCATAAGGGACCTGGGCATCTCAAGCAGTGTCTTCACCTCTAGGCCGAACGCCCGCCCCTTCCACGAGGCTGGCATTCTGGTGTGGGCGCCGTCTGGGGCACACTGCGAGCTTAGGGGCGGATGTGCTACTTACACAGAGCAGTCAGTCCAGGCCCTTCAGACAAGGTGCCATCTTAGCCAAGACTGAAGCGAAGCATTCGGAGAAGGGCATCCCAGAAGGAAACGTGCTGGCCCCAGAGCCTGTGCCCCTAACCACTGCATATGGGGCTCAACATGAGGACCCACTGCAGCCCCTAAGATCCCGGAGTCAGTGCAGAAGACAAGCAGGCCACATCATCCACGCAGAGAAATCTGGAGTCGTCTCCCACGGTTCCCACCTTCTTCCTGTCTACCCTCCAGGAAGCCAAAATGAACGGATCCCCTATTTTAATCCCAACAGTTCTTGGAGACCCTCCCCCTCCCCACGACCAGCCTGCCAGACCCTCCCCCCTGCAAAGAGTGGGATGAACTGTTCGCAAATCCCCCTAATCCTTCAGCGTCTCCGTCTCCTTCTCACACAGCGCCAAGCCCCGGCAGCCGGGAGACCACGCACAGCCCGCCCGGCGCCCACCCAGCCTCACCCATGGGGAACAGCAAGAGCGGGGCGCTGTCCAAGGAGATCCTGGAGGACCTGCAGCTGAACACCAAGTTCACGGAGGAAGAGCTGTGCACCTGGTACCAATCCTTCCTGAAGGAGTGCCCCAGCGGCCGCATCACCCGGCAGGAGTTTGAGAGCATCTACGCCAAGTTCTTCCCCGACGCCGACCCCAAGGCCTATGCCCAGCACGTGTTCCGCAGCTTTGACGCCAACAGCGATGGCACGCTGGACTTCAAGGAGTACGTGATCGCCCTGCACATGACCACGGCGGGAAAGCCCAGCCAGAAGCTGGAGTGGGCCTTCTCCCTGTACGACGTGGACGGCAACGGCGCCATCAGCAAGAACGAAGTGTTGGAGATCGTCATGGTGAGTGCAGCCCTCGCCCTGCCCGCGGCTGTAGCCAGCTGGGCTATAGCCCTGGGGGTGAAGGGAGGGGCGCAGGCCCAAGGCTAGGAGAGCAGGGTAGGGAGGGGGCTCCAGCACGCACATGTAGGGGGCGGGGCTGGGCGCTGTCCCCTGCTACATCTTCTTCCTGAATCAGAATCTGGGTAATTCTGATGTGTACTCTCTCTCTCTCTCTCTCTCTCTCTCTCTCTCTCTCAGCTTTAGGCTCTGCCCGGGCACCTGCCTCCGGCTGCTTCCCATCTGTCTTTTCCTTTGTCTTGTCCTATCCTCCAAGCGTTTGTTGTGGATATTTTAAGTGTCTTGAAAAGAGTTTGTATCTGATATCTAAATCATTTGTGAAATTTAGAGATGGATGACACAGAAATCAAAATGTCCTTTAACTCCAGCATACAGAGAAAACTACCCTTAGTACACTGGCATGTAACTTTCTGGCATTTTATCTCTATAGTTTTGAATAGTTTTAAAGTTATATTCATGTATGATTTTTATCACAGCTTTTCAGTTACTCCTTTATCATGAGTGTTTACATATTCTTCAAAGGATTTTTATGGAGGCCAGTTTTGTGGTGTAGCTGGTAAGGCTGATGCATCCCATATAAGCACTGGTGCGTGTCCCCCACTGCTCCACTTCTGATCCAGCTCCCTGCTAATGGCCTGGGAAAAGCAGCAGAAGGTGGCCCAAGTGTTTGGGTCCCTGATACCCATATGGGAAACCTGGATGAAGCTCCTGGCTCCTGACTTCAGCCTGGCTCAATCCTGGCCATTTTGGCCATCTGGGGAGTAAACCAGCAGATGGAAGACCTCTGTCTCTGTCTCTCCCTCCTTCTCTGTAACTCTTTCAAAATAAATAAATAAATAAATAAATTTGATTATTATTATTTGACAGATAGAATTAGATAGTGTGAGAGAGAGAGACAGAGAGAAAGATCTTCCTTCTGTTCGTTCACCCCCTAAATGGCTGCTACGGCTGGTGCGCTGCGCTGATCCAAAGTCAGGAGCCAGATGCTTCTTCCAGGTCTCCCACGTGGGTGCAGGGGCCCAAGGACTTGGGCCATCCTCCGCTGCCTTCCCGGGCCACAGCAGAGAGCTGGACTGGAAGAGGAACAACCGGGACTAGAACCCAGTGCCCATATGGAATGCTGGCGCCACAGGCGGAGAATAAATCTCTTTTTTTTTTAAAGGACAGATCTTTATTTATTTACTTATTTACTCAAGAGAGATGAAGGGAGAGATGCAGAGAGAGAGAGAGAGAGAGAGAGCGCTTTTATCTGCTGGTTCACTCCTCAAATACCCAAAACAACTGGAGCTTGGCTGAGCTGGCAGCTGGGAACTCAGTCCACGTCTCCAACATGAGCGGTAGGGCCCCAGCTACTGCTGCCTCCCAGGGTGTGCATTAGCAGGAAGCTGGAATTGGGAGCAGAGCTGGGACTCGAACCCAGGCACTCCAATATAGGACGCAGGTGTCCCAATCAGCTCCTTAACCAAATACCCACCCCCAAAAAGCATTCTCAGTAGCTGCCTAGAATTCCATCCGATGGAAATGCCTCAAGGTTAAACACGCCTATATTTTTGGACATCAGGATGCTTTGATTTTTTTTCCCTGTTCTATCAGTAATAGTTCCATCTTCTAAAAGTATATCTTCCCTGATTCTTTTTAATCCTCCTGCCCCTGGCACTTGCTTTATTTTCCCAATTCCATTCGTGTTAGAAAGAGGGATGTGTTTCATATTTTAGGAATTTTTTGTGTGTGCATTTGTAATCACACTGTCATCTGTAGACAACTCTCACCCATATTAGGAGGAACTGGAAATAAAATCAAAACCCGGCAGCCTGTGGTCTTCCTTAGCGCTGGGCTTGGGCCTCCTGCTAAGGGCAGCCCTTGTCAGCTGGGCTCAGTCTACAGAGCCAGCTGCCTTCACCTGTCAATGGGGGTGTCTGGGTGGCTGGGGATGGCACCAAGACTTCAGAGCCACTTAAATGATGCTGTGGAAGCCAGAAGAGGCTGAAAGTTGGGGTTCCTTAAAGAAAGGAGGAGGAAGGGGAGTTGAGGGGAAGGAGGGAATAAAAGGAAGGGAGGGAGGAAGGGAGAGAGGGAGAGAAGGTGTCAGTGGCTGAAGCTGTGCCAGGTGCACCAGACCACAAGGTCATGGGCGGAGCACTGGCCTGGGAGCCGGAAGTAATGGGTTCTAGTGCCGGCTTGGACACCAAGCTCCTGTGTCACCAGCAGGAAGCCTTGTAGCCCCCCTGGGGCTGGAGCGAGGACTTGATGAATTCTGTGGACTCTCCCAAGGCCCTGAAGCTCTGTCCCCTGTGTGTTGGGAGTTAGAGGGGGCAGGCAGTGGATCACCCTCTGCACTCACCCGTCCCATCTGCTCCGGGTGCCCAGGGCTCAGGACAGCCAAAGGAGTTCCGAGAGGCACCTGCATTTCCATCCACCTCAGGGGCTGCTGTGAGCTGCTGCGGTTGACTTCCTGGTTCCCCTTGCGCTAGCACCAGGAAGCAGAGTGGGGCCTTTCTCGAAGCTGTTGACCTTCCAAGGCCCCCAGGCTACCTTCATAGGTGTTCCTGCTCCTGCCTTGTTCCCAGGTGTCTCTGATCAAAGCCCGTGGTCTCCCGACTCCCACCCCAACCAACTGCCTACACCTGAGCCTGCCCAGAGGCCCTACTGCATTGATGTTACTGAACCAATAGAATCTGAGAAACCTGGACCTGGAGGTACCCATTGAGGCCACCTTGCCCCATTGATCTAACAAGTCTGGAGGCACTTCCTGCTTTGCCCTGCAATGCACCTGGCTCCTTGATGGGAGAGAGTAGAGAGTGCTGAGAAAGATCCTTGAGCCCTGGCTCCTTCCTTGAGCAGTAGGACTAACGAGGGGCTTCCCATGCCCTGGGCCCTCCTTTGGGGAGTTCTTGGAGAAGTTCCTGTTGATGCTTCCCATCTCCCTTGCTTAGCCTTGCCCAGCGCTCTCCAAGAAGGTGAGCCAGCCTCAATGTCAGGTTCTAGAGCTGCACCGCCTGGGTTGGAGTCTTTGCTCTGTGCTGGGCAACTTTTGGCAAGGTCATCATCTCAACTCCTGCAGCTGTGAAAGGCAGGGGCTGAAGCTGTGCCAGGTGCACCAGGCCACAAGGTCACTGCCTGCTTCGTAAGGTTGTTGTGAAGGTAGCTTACGAAGATGCTTAGAAAAGCAGCACACATGGGGCTGGCCTTGTGGTGTAGCTGGTTAAGCTGATGCTTGGGATGCTGGCTTCCCTTATGGGTGCCATTCAGCCTGGGCCCTTGGGAGACCCAGATGAAGCTCCTGGCTCCTGCCTTTGGCCTGGCCCAGCCCAGGCTGTTGTATCCATTTGGGGAATGAACTACAGAATGGAAGATATCTCTTTCTCTCTGCCTCATATAATTTTTTTTTAGTTGAAAGGTAGAGCTACAGAAAGAGAGAGGTTCACTCCCCAAATGGCCACAATGGCCAGGGCTGGGCCAGGCTGAAACCAGGAGCCAGGAGCTTCATCTGGTTTCCCACGTCGGTGGCAGGGGTCCAAGCACTTGAACCATCTTCTGCTGCTTTCCCAGGCACATTAGCAGGGAGCTGGATTGGAAGTGGAGCATCCAGGACTTGAACCAGTGCCTTATGGGATGCAGGCATTGCAGGCAGTGGCTTAATCTGTTAACACCACAATGCCGGCTCCAATAAATAAACCTTTTTAAAAAGAAAAGAAAGGCAGCACATATTCTGTGCTCTGCAAATGTCAGCGGTTGCTACCCTAAGAGAGACTTCAACACGGCCCTGAGAGAATCTGCTGGGTGCAAAACCTCAGGGCAGTAGGGTCTGTGGCAGTGTCTGCCAAGCTCCAACTTCAAGGCCACCTTGGACTTGCCATGGGGAAGCTTGTATTTTCTTATTTTCATTTGTCTTTTTTGAAAAAATGAAAGCATCGCGTCTACGTGGTCATAAACTTCAACCGTGTAGAAAAACACAGACGTGGACACCTTCTTCACTCTTCCCCTGCATTTTCTGTCCCTTATGGGAGGTGGGGAGAATCTCAAAAAATGCAGATGCCCAGGCCCTACGCCAAGAATTTTGATTCTGTAGATCAACCGGGGGCCTGGACATCTGTATTGTGTCCACTGCCTTAGAGGACACCCAGCCCCCTGGGGTTTCAGGGCACTGGGAATGGGAACCGAGATGCAGGTGACCCAAAAGTCCTGCCCCTAATAGCGGTGCTAATTTATGCTCTGACCTACAGCATATCAGGGCTGCCTTGCCCTGCGCCCTTGCCAACACTCCTCATCTCCTTTTTTCTTGTTAACAGCCCTTCTAACAGATGTGAGGTGGCTTGCAATTCCCCTGGTGACTAATGACAGTGAACACCTTTTCATACACCTGCCAGCCATTTGTCTCTGGAGAAATGTCCATGCGAGTCCTTTACCCAGTGGAGTGATTTGTTTTTTTATTGAATAGTCCGAGTTCTTGGTGTGTTTTTAGTAACTGCCCCTCCTCTGGCTGTGACTGGCAAAGGTTCCCTCCCAGTCTGTGGGTGGTCTATTCACTCTGCTGTCTCCTTTGCTGTGCACAAGCTTTTTAAGTTGGACGTTATCCTATTTGTCTATTTTTGCTTTTGTTGCCTGTAGGGCTTTGGGTGTCATAGCCAAAAGATCATTGTCAAGGCCAGTGTTAGGAAGCTTTTCTCCTGGTCCCACGCTTAAGTCTTGACTGCATGTCGAGCAGATTTTTGTGAATGGGTGCAACACACAGGCTTTCCTGGAGTCGCCAGCCCCTCTAACAAGTTCTCTCTCACGATTTGGTGCAGGCTATTTTCAAAATGATCAATCCTGAGGACGTAAAGCACCTGCCAGATGACGAGAACACGCCCGAGAAGCGGACCGAAAAGATCTGGGGTTTCTTCGGAAAGAAAGACGATGGTGAATCCTCTTTTCTTTCTTGCCTTTGAATCTTGCAGAAGGGAGCTGTGTCCAGGGCATCCCCAAGATTTAATCTGCTGAGTCAGTGCCCAGGCAGCACTGGGAACACCTCATCCCATCATGCCTTGCTGAGGGCTGCCTGAAGGGATCCAAGGGGGCAGTGGTTGGCAGGGTCACGGGGGCAGTGCTGCTGCCACCTGGGCCTGATTTGCTGAAGGCAGGTGGCACCGCAGCCTCATCCCTTGCAGGGCTCACTCACCACCTGGGATCCCCTGGGGAAGGAAGAAAGCGTTTGAACAAAAGCATCTTCTATCCTAACAGAATTAGCCTACGTGTAAAGGAACAGTAGGCAGCGAAGGCCGCAGTCTCACAGGTTGTTTTATGCAGATGGTGAAAGTGGAAACATTGCAGACCCCCTTTTGCTTTAAACGGAGAGTCTATGTTTAGACACTGCGGCTTACTTTACTTGCTTTTATTTTTTTTTTTATTTTTTATTTTTGACAGGCAGAGTTAGACAGTGAGACAGAGAGAAAGGTCTTCCTTCCGTTGGTTCACCCCCCAAGTGGCCGCCACGGCCGGGGCGTTGCGCTGATCCAAAGCCAGGAGCCAGGTGCTTCCTCCTGGTCTCCCATGTAGGTGCAGGGCCCAAGGATCTGGGCCGTCCTCCACTGCCCTCCCGGGCCACATCAGAGAGCTGGCCTGGAAGAGAAGCAACAGGGAGAGAATCCGGCGCCCCGACCGGAACTAGAACCCGGGGTGCTGGCGCCACAGGTGGAGGATTAGCCTAGTGAGCCATAGTGCCGGCCTACTTCACTTGCTTTTAAACATGCGTTCTGCACAGTTCAATCAAAAGCAAACTTCAGCTCTGGCTAGCCCTAAATTAGCATGCAGTCCCAAACTTCTATGGTTTTCACTCTCAGAGGGGAGATTAGGTCCTCTGAGAAGCACCACCCAAGACAGGTTTAGTTTTGAATTAGAGTGCTAGAGATTGACAGGGAGAAAGGCTGACAAAGGGATCTACTGGAGCCCGGGAAAGCCCTCAGCTGCCTTGCCGATCTGGCTAATCAGAGAGTGAGGTGAAAAAACATCTTAGACAGTAGCTACACCCTAAGAAAGCATTGGCAAAGCCAATGGGGCTTTCTCAAGTACCCTTCTTCTGGCCGGGGGCCTGTCTTTGTGTCCCAGCCCTGCTCGGTGATGGCTGGAGCAAGCCACAGGAAGCCTGGGCTTGCCTTGAAAGCAGGGACTGATTCCAGAACTCAGCAGCTGGAGCCACTGGGTCGTGACAGTCGTGGCCGATGCAGGAAGGGATTGGTAGAGAAACTGGTGTCAGCGAGGGGCTGCAAACTCAGAGCCAGAGAGGCCGGAACTATGGAAATGAGCAGGGTGGACAGTAGCCCCATGGAGTGGCGGGAACGGGCAGCCAGCCAAGAGTGGCTGTCTGATCTGATGGCTTCCAGCTCACTCCACATGGGAATATGGAGTGTACTGGTACAACAATATCTGATTTCAAAGCAGCACCGGGCGGGGGGTGGGGGGGCAATTGTGGGAATTGTCTCAACTGATTAAACACAGCATAACCCAAACACATCTGAAGAGCCAGTATTGGCCCCAGTTGCCCTTTTGCAACCCCTAAGGCAATGTCTTACAAGTATGCAGGAAGAAAGGCCCAAGCAAGGTGTGAAACAGCAGAAACTAGAGATGATCTTGTCCCTTCTCATCTGCACTCAGAACATAAAAATCAAAGAAATGAAGTCACTGGGGTGGAGCCAGGGTGAGGCTAGCAGGTGCCAAGGGCACACATTTAAGGAGGCACTGCTCACTCTCAGGTGCTAACCCTGCACTCCCATGACACTGAGTGAGCACCCCCTTAAACTGTGTGCCTAGGTGCTTCCCGCGCTGGGACTCTGTGCACGTTCTCTTCCTCTTTGGCACACACCCTGCACTGGGTTCTAAGGGTGGGAGTTTCAAGTTCTGTGTGAGGCTGGTGCGGCAGCTAAAACTTTGAAACGAACACTTTACCACCCAAACTTGCACATGGAGCCAGCCTGTCCCAGAAAGGATTAAGGATGCCCCGAGTCTTATTGAGCACTTACTATGTGCTAGACGCCCTGAGCATGCAACAGAGAGCAGAAAGGAACAAGCGTCTCGTGCTGGAGCTGCTGGAGCTACGTCTACACGGGACTTTCCTAGGGGGCTTTTTCTCGCTCTCCTTTATTGCACACCCCACCTCCTCTGACACACGTCCAGGAAGGGCTTGGTGACACGCACTGGCCTGGACTGAGCTGAGCGCAGAAAGCCCACCTGGGGAACAGGGCCTAGCTGGAGCAAGGCTGTCTCCAAGCAGGCCCTGCTTCCAAATGAGGAGACCTGGAGATGTGAGGATGGAATCAGGGAGGAGCTGTCCCCTGGGACTTAGGTCACTGCCTGGAGTGTCCCTGCTCCCTGGAAGAATAGGATTTCTGCTTCTCTTGACACCCTGGGACTAGCATCAAAGTCAATCTGTTTTGTTCAATCCAGTCTTGAGACATGGGCTAATACTGAAATTATAATAATAGCTATTATTAATTATTAAAATATGTAATAACCAGCAAGGCATGGGCACCATGCACCAAGAGACACATACATAGCCAAGGCAGTCTCTTGCTAACTTGTCTGGCTCATGGGGCTTGTGCAAGGGTCCTGGGGAGGAGCTGGGTGTCTGGGGTGGGGGCGGAGGACCCACCTGTGCCCTGAGGGCTCGTGCTGGGTGTTCTGGCTGGCTGGCCACATCCCTACAGCTTGAAACAGCCTATCCCTGTTTTTTTTTTTTTTTTTCTCTGCTTGTGCACAGATAAACTTACAGAGGAAGAATTCATTGAAGGAACCATGGCCAATAAGGAAATCCTGCGACTGATCCAGTTTGAGCCTCAAAAAGTGAAGGAAAGGATAAAAGAAAAGAAGCAATGATGCCAACTGCTCAGCCCTGCTCGCTGCCCCCACGGCTCACATACACACCCACGAAAGCACACACACACTTGTATGCACCTGTGCACACACACACCCAGGGCCAGGAGACTGGCCCCCAGCCCCACAGCCCAGCTCCCTGCCAAACTGAAATGTCGTTGGCCATCCTCGTTCCCTCTGTGGTTAGTGTCCCTCTGGCCACACTCACCTGCCTGGCCCTTCTCCGGCCCCACAGCCCATGGCCCCCTGATAATCCCAGGATTAGTATCTAGGAGCCCTAAAGGTCACCCCGTGTAAGCTCCTTTGTGGATTGCTGGGTAAGCAGCTTCCAATAAACGCAAAAGGCCCTGGGCACACGGCTGCTGCTCATTCTTGAACTGCAGAAGCAAATGGCTCGGTGGGCTTGACCTCAGGGACAAGGTGCACCTGCACTGTAGTCCTGGGGTGCTTGAATGGGACCCAGGCCCTCCCGGTCAGAGGGGAGGAGAGGTTGTGATGGAGTTACCATGGAGACGGGCAGACTGTGGGAAGGCATGCCAGCGGGGGCTGACTTGTCCAGGGAAGATCAGGGATGAGGGTCCTGATGGAAGGATGTTAAATTCAGACCCAGTGGCCTGTGGCGGGGGACAGAGCCAGGTAGGGAAGCCGTGTCTCAGACAGTGGCCAACACCGAGTGTAATGGCAAGAGAGAGCATCTGAGCTCCAGGACCGTGAGCGGGCTGCGGTGGCCAGAGGCAGAGGGAGAAGGAGGGCTGCGTGAGCTGAGCCTGAAGGGTCAGTGGGGGCCCGAAGGTGCAGGACTTCCTGCAGCCCACAGGAAGCACTTGCAGGTAGTGAGGCCACGCTGGGGTTGGAGTTAGGAGGGAATCTACGCTTGTACGGAGGTCCTGGCGGAGTGGAAATAAGTCAAGGGCAAGACCGGGAGCAGGGTGCCTATTGCTGGAGCACTGGGGCCAGGACAGCAGTGGGGTAGAGAGAGGACGGACTCAGTAAGGTCAAGCTAAGGACATGGCATCCCCCTGTTGATTTTGTGTGTGGAGGGGGGGATGTCGTGGAGGACAGGAAGAGGAAGAAGCAAGGATGATAGGCAGCCTGTGGCTTGGGCGCTGGGTGAACAGCAGTGATATCTGCCAAGACAGGAAACCCAGGGAGCACTGTGGATTTCAGGGGACAGTGAGGGGTTTGGCTTTGCTAGGGTGAGAGGTAGAGACAGAGCCCTAGTCTCCCCCGGGACCCTTCACTGTAGAGACAAGCAGAGGGAGGCCCAATGGAAGGAAGTGGCTTGCTCAGGGTCAGCCAGCCAATGAGCAGAGGCCAGGCCAAAGCTACCCATAAGCCTGCACTGTCTCCATAGAGCTCCAGGGCCTGGGTACCTCAGAACTCCACCAGTGGGTACTCTGAGACCTTGGGGTGCATTGCTTTGAAGGTCTGTGTCTTCTCCAGCCTGAAGTCTCAAGGTGAGGCCAGAAAAGTATATGGGTGTCTTGCTCTTTTTAAAAAATGTATTTGAAAGGCAGACAGACAGAGAAAAAAGAAAAGGAAAAAAAAGAGAGAGAGAGAGATCTTCCACCTGCTGGACCACTTCCCAAATGCCCACAACATCTAGGGCCAGCCTAGGCCCAAGCCAGGAGCCTGGAACTCCATCCAGGTCTTCCATGTGGGCGGCAGGGGCCCAAGTACCCTACCTATCACCTGCTGCCTCTCAGGGTGGGCGTTAGCAGGAAGCTGGAACAGGGAGTGGCGCCAGGGCTGGAACCAACCCGCTCAGATACGGCATGCGAGCATTCCATGTGGCTGCTTACCTGCTGGGCCACACATCTACCCCACCTCAGACCCGTGTGCCACCTCCCGAGGCTGGGAGTCTCTTTTTGCTGGTCCCGTGGCTGATCTCCTACCTCCCAGTGTTCACCTTGGAGATGGCACCATCACCACCTCCGGAGTGCGTTCCTCTTGGTGGGGAGCACACAGGAGGACAAGTGCTTAGGCGTGTAGCTTTTCCTAAGAGTGGGCACCATGCAAGACCTTGCAGGTGCTCTTCCACTGCTGGAGGCCTTTGGATGTCCACGGTGCAGGGAACACCCAGGGAGGCCAGGACGAGAGAGCAGGATTTGGTACTCAAACCAGAGTCCTTTTGATTTCTACCAGGTTGCTGCCCCAATAGCTTGGACTTGGACATGAGAGGCTAGAGCGTTCTGGCAGGGTTGCAGCTGGAAGGAGGAGAGGTGCTACGCAGCATCTGGACCAGGGGTTCTTGAGCGCAGCCCAGGGCAGTCTAGGGACACAACCAGAGGGCCCAATGCCTTCTCTCCGTGCTCTGTCTGCCACTGTCCATCATTGAATCTAGTTGGTTGATTTACTGCTGAGGTCTGAATATCATTGGCTCTTGTGTCTGATAAGACCGACACTACCTAACAAGGTCCTTCTTGGTCTGCGGTTCAACGAGAGACATGGAGAGGCCACCAGAGCTTCAGCTGGCCCCAGGAGAAATAAACAGTGATAACCTAATTGGCACTTTTGTGAGGTTAAGGTAGAAGGACCCCTTGAGCCTCCTGTTGTGTGCAGCTCAGTGGCATACCTTGGGATATTTGCTATGAGAACCAGGGAGCAACATGATGCCCTACTTGACTGAAGGGAAGAGAAGGAAGTGGAAGTGGTCCTGAGTTATACATCATTCCAGAAACCGAGGACGGAAGACCCAGCATGCATTGTTGTGGAACCCATAGGAACTCATTGTTTCTTGTAGCTGCAATTCTAGGAGTAGTGTTGGCTCCAGGGCTGGCTTAATCTAGGGGCTCTAATAACGTCCCAAGGTCTTTTTTCCATGTCCTGGTTTTGCTTTCTGCCATCGCCACTGTTCTCACACAGGTCCTCCCTGTGCTGGCAAGGCAGTCACTGGCAGATTCAGGGTGATCTCTTCACAGTTCTGATTTCAACAGAAAGGGAACGAGCCTTCAGTCCAAGTCCCAGGAGTGTTCCTCACTGCACCTGGGTGGTGAGGTCTCAATGCCTGCAGGGTGGCATGCTCTGCTCTGCCAGCCAGACTTTGCCCATTCCTGGGCCTGGCAATGCAGCCCGGGCAGCTCAACCTTCGCAGGCTGAGAATGAGAGATGCATGGCTTCCAACAGGACAGTTGGGTTGCTATAAACCTAGGAGTGAGTTCTCAAAACAGATGTTGGGGCAGACATTTAGCCCAGTGGTTAACGTGCTGCTTGGAACATCCAGCATCCCACAGCAGAGTGCCTGGGTTCAAGTCCCAGCTCTGCTCCTGATTCCGGCTTCCTGATCTTGCACAATCTGGGAGATAGCAGGTGAGGGCTCAGGTACTTGGGTCCCTGCCTAAGTTCCCAGCTCTTGGCTTCAGCCTGGCCTAGCCTTAACAGATGTAGGCATTTGGCATATTGGAGCTTTCTATGTTTCTGTTTATCTGTTTCTCTCTCTCTCTCAAAATAAGTAAATAATAGAAATGTAAAAAAATAAACATAAAAATAGATGTCCACTATAGAGACCTTGGGCAAGTCACTTCCTGTCTCCTGCTTCATCTTCTACATGATGTACAATAAGAGCACAAGATAGTCTCACCGAGAACAATCATCCAAACTGCCTGGCCCCTTCTGCCTACAGCTCACACAGGATCCCGCCCCCTTATGCAGCACCCTTTGTCTTAGCATCCCCAGGAGGTGTTTCCTACAGAGTCACCAATAAGTCCCTTAGTTCCAAGCACCTGCATTTCCCACCACAGGCAAGGCAACCGCACGCCCGTGAGATGCCCAGGCGATGTGCTGGTCTGCTGGGGAGCCCTCCGGGTTAGACTCTGTTAGAGGGCCCCATGCAGAGGGACAGGGGCCATGGAAACAGCTTCTGGTGTTGCCTCCTGGAAACAGCAGCTTTACCTTTTGTCTGCAGCTTCTGTTTTCACACCAGACTCAGACACTGTCCGTGGAGCCAGAGGGGACCAAGGCCATGCTGCTGCCCACTCCACTCTCATGTCTTTAACTTGGAAAATATTTTTGCTTTTTTTTAAATTTTTTGAAAGGCATAAAGACAGAGAGTCAGAGATCTTCTATCCATTGCTTCACTCCCCAAAGACCCAGAACAGCCAGGGCAGGGCCAGGCTGAAGGCAGGAGCCCTGATCTCAATCTGGATCCCCACTTGGGTGGCAGGGACCCCAGTGCTGGAGCCGCCACCTCCTGCTGCCTCCGGAGTACACACCGGCAGCAAGATAGAATCAAAAGCTGAACCAGGACTCGAACCCTGGCACTCTGATACGGGATGCAGGTGTCCTAAGCACCTGCCTCTCCCCCTCCATTTCTGTCCCTTGGTGGTTACCCAAGCCTATCAGATAGGCCCAGAGAGGTTTGCGCCTCAGCCTCAAAGGCTCCTGGGGGGATGACCACCCACGGAAACCACAAAACCAAGCCGACCCCACCGACGCTGGCCAGCACGTAGAGTGTGTTCCTAGGGAAGGACTTCTAAGTTCTGAAGGCTGCACATTTAGGTGGGAGACTCAGTCTACCTAGACTTCAGCATGTACATGTTGCCAAGGAAAGCCGCACCTCCTTCCCTTCTTCCTGGCTTCGTTCACGTGTTAAAATCATTTGGATGGTTTTGATATGGGATCAGAAGCAGGCCAGACAGGACTTGAACCAGCGCCCATATGGGATGCCAGTGCTGCAGGCAGCAGTGTAGCCCACTATGCCATGATGCAGGCCCCATATTCCAGTTTAAAAGTGGTTAAAGACTTATAGATATTTTTCAAAAGGAAGTATGCAAATCATCAATGAGCAAGCACATGGAAAGCTGCTCCATGTCATTAGCCGTTAGGGAAACGCTGATGACAAAACCACCATGAGACACTATTTCACAGCCATCAGGACGGCGGGAGTAAAAAGTTGGAAACTACATGTTGGCAAGGGTGCAGAGAGACAGGAACGCACATGCATAGCTGGTGGGAATGGAAGGTGGGGGTGACTGCTGTGGAAAATCGCTGGACGCTTCCTCAATATGCTACCCACGGAATTCCAGTTCCAAAGTCGACAGCAGGCGCTCCAACAAGGGTTTGTATGCCCCCATCCACAGCGGCATTATTCACAGTGGCCAAAGGGTAGAAACAACCTAGCGTCCATTGCCAGAGGGATGGATACGCAAAATGTGCTCCAGCCAAACAATGGGCTATCATTCAACAGCCAGGAAGAGGAAGGTCACCCCAACAGGTACCACAGCGGAGACGAAGCTTGAGGACATCGTGCTAAGTAAGTCAATCACAAGGGGACAGAAACTGTAGGAGTTCACTCATAGGACTTAGCTAAAACAGGCCAATTAAAGGAGAAGGCCTTTAGCCTCTCATATAGAAGCCTGCTTCCCACACTGGAATGCCTGGGTTCAACTCCTGACTTGTGCTCCTGGCTACAGCTTCGTGGGAATGCAAGTCCTGGGAGGCAGCAGCTCAAGTGGTCGGGGTCCTGGACTGCATTCCCAGCCTCCAGCGTTCACGGTCTGTGTTCCTTTTCTCTGTCGCTATGCTTTACAAATAAAAATAAATAAATAAAACTTAAGGAAAAACATAAGGGAGGCAAATGCATAGAGACAGAATGTAGAAGCATGGCTGTGAGAGACTGAGGGGAGGGGGAGGAGGGAATTACTATTGGTGGAGACAGCGTTCCAGCCGGGGAAGACGCAAAACCTCCAGAGACAGATGGTGGGGAGGGTTGCACACAACGGGAATGCAAGTGACACCGCAGAACCATATACTCTTAGAATGGTCAACTTCATGTATATTTTACTATAATAAAAAAAATCGCTCTGGATCTTATAAAAACACCAATACCCAAGACCATTCAGTCTAAGCCAATGAGAATGTCTGGAGTCAGACCCCACCGTGGGTCTTTCCAGTGTCCCCAGTGTGGGGAGCAACTCGGACTAGACTAAGTTACTGGAATTAAGACTTATTCTATGCATCTGCTCTCCCACAATATGGTGCTGAAAGGGAGTAAACAACTTCTACGCAGCTGCCTCTCGCCAACTTGACTGATAAGCTGCAGGAGCTGATCCTGCTCCTGATTGGAGGAGAGCAGCGTGCTCAGCGTGTGGGTAGCAGAGTTGGGATTGGTGGAAGAGGACTATAAAGGAGGAGAGAGACAACATGCACCAGGAACATCCGGATAACATCTGAGCAGCCCCCAAGAGAGCCGGCCGGCGGTGTGCCGCTCCCCCGCAGAAGTGGGGAAAGTGGCAGGGGGAGCTGCCCCTCCACGGAGGTGGAGGGGTCAGCAGCCAACCCGGGAAGGACCAGCAGCAAACCCGGGAAGGGCTGAGCAGACAAAAGAACAGCGCAGGGTTTAGTGTCGTTCCTCCGCGAATGGGGGAGCGACACCCAGGATGGTCACGTGGGACTGGGAACCAGCAGGCTGGACTTTCAGGCATTTCTGGGTGATCTAGAAAAAGAGGGACGCCTGCCTTCTGTCCTTTGACCTCTGACCTCTGCTCCTGGCCCACTCACTCCTCTAGACCATGCGCTACCCAGCTCTCTTTTTCCCACCTTTGGCCAGGAAGCATGTAATGGATTTCCCAGGCCTGTGAGCCAACCCCTCAGCTCTCATGAGACACCAGTGTAAGTCAATGAACAAAACGCCAGTCACCTTAAATAAGCTTGTTTTAATCATTAGCAGTACAAGAGCAAGCAGTGCATGTGAACACAGGCCCCCCACCCCACACACACACTCCGGTCCGTGGACTGAGGGGTGGGGGACATATTTACAAACGCTTAGAAGGAAAATAATTTTCCTCTGTAAGTGGCAAGATCCTGGATGACTTATGCCTGGCAGCCCCTGATGCTCCCGAGAGACATCTCTGTCCCATCTTGTTCATGAATGTGTATCCAGCCCTCGCTGTGGGAGCCAGCCCTGTGCTGGGCACACGCTGGGCACACGGGTCAGCCTGGTTTTCTGGGAGCCACGGCAAGCACATTTGTAGAAAGGGAAAAGCCACAGACTTTAACAACTGCATTTTGGATCATGTCGATACCAAGAACCAAACCTCTGCTTCATTTATGCACTGGGCTTGCGAATCTACTTCAGCTCCCAACTTCCCAACCAGGACTGAACCCAGGTGAGGCAAGAGAGGCACTCAACCGGGGTGCAGATTTTCAGGGGGCACCCAAAGGCTCCAACATCAAGAAAAATTGTATTTTCATGCAATCAGTTAGAAATCAAAATTCATATTAAAAAGACCCAGATGAGCAGAACCTCTGCCTTCTCAATAAAGTCAGGAACCAAATCTGGATGATCTGGCCTCACCTCATCCCAGCCCTGATAAAAAAAAAAAAAAAAAAAAATTATGGTTCTAAATGGTCTGTGCGGTGGTGCAATGTGTGGATTTGGTTTTTTAAATATTGCATTCAAATATTATTTTGAGCTGACTATTTCAGAGACCAGTGCCTCCGTGGTCTCCCACCTCGCCCTAGCCTCGCTCAAAGGTTTCCTTGAGACCAGAGTTGCCAGGACAGCAGGATGTGCCATGGAACTTAAACTTACTTAACACAGGAAGGTTATTCATTTGGCTGAAGTTCCCAGGTAATCGAGTCCCTTCCATTTCTGTTTGCTAAACCCGGCACCCCTATAGGAGAAGTATCCTATTGTTCCTCCCTAAGATAAGGCGGTATGTGGTCCCCAGCAGCATCCCCCATCCACCTGCACGTGCGTGTCACACACCCCGAATGTGCACTCCCGTGCACCTGCACGCTCTTTCCACAGCCTTCTTCCCCCTGGTCCCTCCTTCGGCCTCTTGCTGTACAGTTTCAGTCCCTGAAGTCTAACCCCCGTTGCCTGGCGCTGCTCCGGCTCCAACAGGGCAGGGCCTGGTGCACAGCTGAGATGCCCCATCAGGCCAGCCCAGCGAGGGGCCATGGGACTGACTCTTGGGGCCATCCTCGGCGTGTCCAGATCCACAGTCCTGTTGCTTTACCTGGGCCCCCTTCTGCTTTGAGCATCTACTGACCATCTAGGGAATAGGATTCTGATCAGCAGGGACCGGGTCAGGACGAGAGCAGTGGTAAACTTGCCTCTTGGAGCAGGTGCCGTGGTCCTCTATATATCCACAGCAAACCAGAAAGGGAGGAGTATTCCTCACCCCAGGGATCATGGAGCAAGTGAGCCTCCCAAAAGCACAGCTCAGAACAGCAGGCAGGAGAGGCAAGGAAGGACTGAGGACAACATCCAGAGGATCCCTGGCAGCCGGAGCCCATCTTCAGAGCAAAGATGGGGGTGCTGTGGCTCCACCAGAGCTTGTGTGGACCACGACGGACAGAGAATTGAGAGGGAGGGGCAAGATTCGACCAGAGGGGAAAGGGAGAGGAGCAGGTAAGTGAGTGGGGGTCTCCATGGCGGCTCAGCTATGACGTGGAGCCTCCCACTCCATCCTGCCACGGGCCTCACCAGGGGGGCTTCTGGCTCCTTCACACCATGCCCCGTGCCCTCCAGGGGTGGGCTTGCATCAGATTACCTGGGGGGCCTGACAGTCCCGCCTCCTGACTGTCATCCCAGATGCACCTTCTTAGGGTCTCCACTTGGTAGAGTCTAGGATTTTCAAAGCTTCCTGGGGTGGGGGTGGAGGAATCCTTATGGGCCCTAAATCCAACCTCAGAAGGAAACCGCATACCATGCGTGGGAAAAGGAAGGGTACCGGCTGGCCTCTGTTTAACAGGAGACCTCTCTTCATCACCTGAACGTCAGGCCAGGCCCAGAGGCCCGCAGCCCTTCTGGGAAATAGAACTGGCGGGGGTTGCTAGGGTGAGGGTGGGCAGAGGCTGTGAGTGGCACACCGCCTCTGTAAGACAGAGCTCCTAGAACCTTGAGATAGAGCTGACGTCAACATGGGTGCAGCGAATGGGGACGGGATGGCTCTGTGCTCAGCTGTCCCCCCACCCCCTGCCTCCATCCTAGGCCTCCTAGGAGTCCCCCGGGGCACGGGCCTCCTAGATCTCACTCTCTTCCAGAATCTCCTCCATGGTGTTGGCCAGGGTGAAGTCCCCCTCGCTGCTCTCCGACAGGCTGCTGCTGCCCCGGGGCCAGGGCGGGTGGCCCCCATGGGGCCGGGCACCCAGCTGCCCCAGACCCCGGGCAGCCGGGTGCAAACTGTCGGGCGAGGACTGCGACGTGCGAAGCGTGTCGGTGCCTTCTCCCTCCGAGAGCTTCTTGGGACATGTCCCCAGGAAGCGCAAGTGCCTCCCCAGGACCCAGGCTCTGCAGCCCGAGTGGCGAGCCAGCCAGAAGCGGGCCCAGTGCTTGCGCAGCTCGGCCTTCACCTGCCGGGGGACACAAGGGTGAGGTTATTGCCTTGGGATCACTTAGCCCTGTGTCCACTGGGCGAATGCTTACTGATTACGCTGGGGAAATTTACCTTCTAACCAGAGGAGACCGACAAAGAGAGGCAGCCAGAGGCAGGTGAGCAGACCCACTGGGAGGCCTCGAACAGGACAATGCAATGGGGAGTCTTACATAAACATTATAGGAGACCACTGTTTGGGCTTAAGCTCTGAGGCTGGGATGAGACCAGGCTACAAATCAAAGTCAGTCCCTTGTGCTAAAATTCCACGTCACCAAACCAAACCAAGCTGTTCCCTGGCCTTCAGAAGTACAAAGCAACAGCCAAGTTTCCCACAGGGCAATTTCCATTGCCATGGTAATGAGGTTCTCTCTGCCTTAATCCTTTCTCCCAAAAGGCCAGCTGCAGCCAGGGACCTGATGCTGACCCGCCAGTCACCCAGTCACGTTTCTGTTCTTCTGTCTCCCTGTCTGTGCCCTACAAGGAGTCTCTTTGAAATGGGTCATCTGCTCTCCCTTCTCCATGTCTGCTCTCTTCAGCCTTCTTCTGTCTGCAACTTCAACCTCCTCTGCTCTCGCTCTGCCCAGTCTTAGAACCGCAAGTACAGCCGATTAAGATCATGAAGCCAGGCTGGCTGTGGCACAGTGTAGGTTAAGCCACCGCCTGCAGTGCCTGCATCCCAGGTCGAGTACCTGTTAAGTCCCAGCTGCTCCACTTCAAATCCAGCTCCCTGCTAATGCGCCTGGGAAAGCAGCAGAGGATGGCCAAGTGCTTGGGCCCCTGCTACCCGTGGAGTGGACCTGGATGGGGTTCCAGGCTCCTGGCTTTGGCCTGGCCCAGCACCAGCCACTGTAGCTGTTTGGGGAGTGAACCAGTGAATACAGATGTCTCTCTCTCTCTCCCTTCCCCTCTATCTCTGTCACTCTGACTTTCAAATAAGTAAATCTTTCTTTAAAAAAGATCATTAAACTAAATTGTCCCTTGGGTCCTTTGAGAAAAACTTGAGATAAGGTGTTTAGATGGCATTTGAGCTAAAACCCACCTGATGGGGGAAAAAAACCCATGCGAAAACACAATAGGAGCAGAAGGAAGAAGAGTGGGAGAGGGTTTAGTTGTCAAAAGCTTGTGTCCCATTATCAAGAGACAGAAGTCAAGATTTAAACCTGGAGTGGGCAGAGAGGAGGGGGAAAGGGGACTGGAAACTTAATCAGTTCCTAAAGAGGGGAATAAACACTTGCTGTGACCTCTGCCTCTCTCCCCTTCCAGTCTTTTCCCAGGGGAGCAGTGAGGAGCTTAGGGCTGCACAATAATGTTGACAATGAAAATAACCACAGTTTGCAGGAGCTGAGCCTCTACCGTGAGCCTAACATGCCTGAGGCAACACCACCAGGTATGGGCAGTGTTACCCCCACTTTGCAAATGAGAAAACTGAGGCTAAAGAAGGTACAGCAACCTGACCAATTCACAGAACTCTCAAGCTGCTGAGTCAAGGCTTAGATTCAAGTTCAAGCTTTTACATTCCAAGCATGGAAAGCCAAGACACTGTGGCAAAAAAAAAAATGTCCTACATGAAGGATCTCTGTGAGAGAGACCCCAGTGGAAAGAAGGGGCCATCAAAGAAGGAGGTACTTTTCTCTGAAGGGAGGAGAGAACTTCCACTTTCCAATGGCCTTGACTAAATACTGACGGAGATTGTGGATTCAAAAGGCTTCCATAGCCTTTGCAGCTCATGTCAAGAGCCTTGGGTGATCACTGACGTCATACATAGGAGTGTTAATTGTTAAATCAACAACAGGAGTCATTGTGCACTTGCTCCCCATGCAGGACCTCTGTCCTCAATGAGTTATACGATGAGAATTAACTGTAAAACTCATCCTCAGTTTTTTGTTTTTTGTGTAAATTGTTGAAATCTTTACTTAATATAGAGTTGGTCTTTTGTGTAGAAAGTTAATTGACAGTGAATCTTAATGGAGAATGGGACTGGGAAGCGGAGAGGGAGGAGGAGGTGGGGTGGGAGAGCAGATATGGTGGGAAGAATAACTATATTCCTAAAGTTGCACCTATGAAATTTGTACTCCTTAAATAAAAGGTTTTTTCGAGGGGAAACAAAAAGTTCAAGCTTTGAATCACCTTGCATTTCAGCACTGCTGCAGGGCCAAGGCTGGCTTCTGAGCAAATCCACACCCCCACCCTGGTCTCTTCCCCCAGCTGTCTCAGCCTCTGAGCTGCCTCCTGTTCCCACTCCTCAGTGCCTCCAGTACGAATTTCTCCCCATGTGTGCTGGTCACTGCACATCTTCCCATAGGTTTCACATAAGCAGAAAGCTCCAGGGGCAGTAGGATTCTAGCCCTAGCCTCCTAGGAAGGTGGACAGCAGCATGCAACTCATACCTCTCCATTGGCAAAGCAATACTGCAGGGCCACGAGGAATCCCTGGAACGAGAAGAAGACGTGGCATGGAGTGTGGCTGACAGTGACTGGCAAGGTCCAAGCATCCCCCAAAGCGGCACGCAACTACCTCGCTCACACTGACTAGAATGAGTCACCCCAGCTACGCTCGCTTGGACTTTCATTACATCTCCACCACCCAGTCCATTCCCGCTTCGGTGTTTGTTTCCTCCAAAGTCTAAGGCATTCATGCACTTATAAAAATACTGGCAAGACCACTGTCCCATTCCCATTTGTCTATAGCAGGCATTGGCTTTATTTTATTTTATTAATTTATTTATTTATTTATTTGCCTGACTTGCATCCTTTCCTTTGGAAAACTGGCCATCCTCTGCTCCCTATGCCTTGTTCTGTTTTTTTTTGACAGGCAGACAGGCAGAGTGGATAGTGAGAGAGAGAGAGACAGAGAGAAAGGTCTTCCTTTTGCCGTTGGTTCACCCTCCAATGGCCGCCATGGCCGGTGCACTGCACTGATCCTATGGCAGGAGCCAGGTGCTTCTCCTGGTCTCCCATGGGGTGCAGGGCCCAAGCACTTGGGCCATCCTCCACTGCACTCCCGGGCCACAGCAGAGAGCTGGCTTGGAAGAGGGGCAACCGGGACAGGATCCGGCACCCCGACCGGGACTAGAACCCAGTGTGCCGGCGCCGCTAGGTGGAGGATTAGCCTATTGAGCCACGGTGCCAGCCTCCCTATGCTTCTAATATAGCTGTCAATCATGTGGCTCCCATTCTTAAAAAAAAAAAAAAAAGTCCATGACCACAGTGAATCAGCCCAAATGAGCTGGTGACCCAAGTGGGGCCAATCTGTGTTCTTTGCACCAGAAAAGAAGAGAGAGCTGTGCTTGCTTTCTGACGCCCACCAGCCTTATAGATGACCTAGACCCAGAGGACCGATGGGTACCTTCCCAGCGACTGGAGAAAGCTCATCTAGGGATGAAGTCAACACAGAGAAAAACCGAGGCTGGAGATGGTGACAGGCAGGCTTCTGATGATGTCATCTGAGTAGCTGGACCCAGAAACCCTTGATCGTGAAGTTCTCATTTATATGATGTAATAAGAACCCTTTTCCTCTTATCAGAATACTTCTTTTGGGGTACAGGTGGTTAAGATGCCACTTGGGGTGCTCGCATCCCACAGTGAAGTGGCTGACTTCCAGTTCCAGCTCCCTGCCAATGCACACACCGGGAGACAGCAGGTGCTGGCTCAAGTGGTCAGGTCCCGGCCTGCCATGTGGGAGACCCAGATTGAGTTCCTGGCTCTTGGCTTCGACTTGGTCCAGCCTCAGCTGTTTGAAGGCAACTGGGGAGTGAACCAGAGCATGGGACACTACTCTCAGTCTCTCTACCTTTCAAATAATGAGAATAAAATAAATATTTAAAAATATTTCTTTCGGAAAGATAGATCATCTTTGCCAGTGGCTTCCTCACACTTCGAATAAAGTCAACAGAAGGCCCTCGGCGATGGGCTCCATGTCTGTGTGTTGTCAGTGCTGTTATACCAACCACGCTTCCCCTCGGCCACCCCATCCCAGCCGAGAGGGCCTCTGGGACCCTGCCAGCCGGTCAAGCTCTGCTCTGCATCTTATGTAACAGTGGATCCAAACGACAACGATTCATCCACCTCACACACTTCCTACACCTAAGAATCTGGCAAGAGTGTAGCTGCACGCTCCAGCTCAGGGCCATGCTGAAGCCACAGCCCAGATGTTGGCTGCAGCTGCAGTCCTCCGATGGCCAGGAGTGCCTGTAAGGGGGCCCACATGGCTGGCAGGCTGGTGCTGGTGGCTGGTGGGAGGACCCAGTTTCTCTCTACAGTGTCTGTGTGTCCTCATCATCACACAGCAGCTGGCTTCCCCCAAGGGGTGCCCCAAGAAAGCTGGGTGGGAGCTGCAAGCCCTCTTAGGACCTTGTTACACACTACCACCCCCACACCCTAATGATCACACAGCTCAGCCCTATTGAGCAGGGAAGGGGGCTGTGGAGGCAGGAATCCCTACAATTATACAGCATTTTCATTGACCAAGCATTTGTGTTGAGAAGGTTCCAATACAGTGATAATCTCTTGAATTTGGAAGATTTTTCTGGATTTACCATTTGGCGTCCAGAGATCCGGAATCAATGACAGTTTAATGTGTATTCAATGTGGTTAATTGACTGTTTATTTAGTTCATGTTTGCTTCCATGGTCTTCCCAGACTTCCACCCTCATGATCCGTTGGCCACTGTGATAACCTCCGTGGCCTGGCTCTCCCTAGCTGTTAGGCAGGTCTGTGGAATATGGGCTGTGGATCTCATACTGGGGTTTGATTTTTGTGTCTCATACACACTTACATGTAGGAAAATTCATAAAAAATGCCAGAACTCACAAGGAAAGGACACAGCTAAAGCAGAAAATGGCAGGCTACCTCCTCCTATATCTCTTGATGACTTTAAAGTATGGTCCTGAGGGCTGGCTCTCTGCCACAGTGGGTTAAGCCACCGCCTACATCACCAGCATCCCATACGGGTGCTGATTTGAGTTCTGGCTGCTCTGCTTCCAATCCAGCTCTCTGCTAGTGAACTGGGAAAGCAGTGGAAGATGGTCCAAGCCTTAAGGCCCCTGCACCCACGTGGGAGACCCAGAAGAAGTTCCTGGCTCCTGGCTTCGGATCAGCCCAGCTGCGAGTGTTGCAGCCATTGGGGAGTGAACTAGTGGATGAAAGACCTGTGTGTGTGTGTGTGTGTGTGTGTCCCTCTCTTTTTCTATAACTCTGCCTTTCAAATAAACAAATGAATATTTTAAATAAAATGGGCCGAGAAGAATTTATTTCTTTTCTCTTCCCTTCATGGGCCTTATTTAACTTGTCCCTTCTGGAACCAGGCCAGGACTCTCCAGGCTGGCTATGATGACATCATCATGACATCATCAAATGCTGGCTTCTGCCCCTCCCTTTAGCTCCTAGTTACTCCACAGCTGCCCCCTCTAAATGGCACCACAGTGGTACCAGTTCATCACTCCCACACGTGCAGTCTCATCAGAGGCTCACAGCCCCCAGGTACATGATATCAGACAAACCAGCCTTCAGAGTGCAAATTCTCACAAACAATGTGCTGAAAATGGGCTTCCACATGGCCAATGTGTGTTTTCACCTCCCCAGGTTCTACCTTCACTGTTTTAGGGAACCCCTGGAGTCTGGCTCTTTTTTTTTTTTTTTTTTTTTTTTAGACAGGCAGAGTTAGACAGTGAGAGACAGAAAGGTCTTCCTTCTGTTGGTTCACCCCTCAAATGGCCACCACAGTTGGTGCACTGCGCTGATCCAAAGCCAGGAGCCAGGTGCTTCTCCTGGTCTCCCATGCAGGTGCAGGGCCCAAGCACTTGGGCCATCCTCCACTGCCTTCCCAGGCCACAGCAGAGAGCTGGACTGGAAGAGGAGCAACAGGGACTAGACCCCGGCGCCCATATGGGATGCCAGCACCGTGTGGAGGATTAGCCAAGTGAGCCACGGCGCTGGCCCTGAGTCTGGTTCTTATTCTAGAAAAGGCAGGTGGGAAGGGAGCAGAACACCTGGCTCTCACTTCACATATCACCACCACTTGGCCATCTCCCCAAAGATCCACTGAGCGCAGGAGCCTGGCGAGACACTGAGCGGCAAGCCCTTGGAAGAGCCAAGGACCCCCCAACACAACAAGGAGGGGAAGCTACTAGGGCTCACGCCTGCCCTTGATTCCCATGGAGGAGCCAGTAAGATCCGAGCCACACACACGTGCCCGCCTAGGCTCTCACTGCCTGTGGGACGGAGGGGAATTGTGCTGGGGTATTCAGAAGACAGGCGGCCTCAGTGCACACACAGGGCTTCTAAATCCCGCCCAGGACAAAACACCCTTCAGAGTCACTGTGCCTCCTCGCACCGCACAATGGTGCCAGGTGGTGAGCAGAGCTTTAGCGGGCTGCAGGCCAGCTGGTCCTGGTGCCAGGTCCTCTCCAGGGGTGGCCCCGAGGCAACTCCTCTCTCTCTAGGTTCACGCTGTTCCATAAGCAACAAGCTGACCGGATCTTCCCTCCCCCCAGCATGCGGGGTGAACTTCTGACCCCTTCCCCAGCCTAGGCCATAAGAGGACTGGAAGTTTCCACTTCCTCCCTCTCAGAGTGTTTGCTCTTGGGATGCTCCGACAGCCCAGCTCCCATGCTACGTGAGGCCCGGGATGCACGGAGAGACCACGAGGAAGAGAACCCAGGCTCCCGGATCGGAGCTCCTGGCCAGTAGCCCCACTGCCCTTTCACATGCATGAACCATCAAGGCTGTTGCAACCCCATGCATCAAAAGAATACTCCCACTGAGCCCGGACAGCCTCGGCCACAGAACCTTTCAAATTAATAGCAAGAGGGGGAGGGCGCTGTGTTAAACAAGTTAAGCATCCTATATCATAGTACCTGGGAGCAGTCTCACCCTCCATTCCATTTTTTTTTTTAAAGATTTATTTATTTATTTACAAGGCAGAGTGATAGAAAAAGAGGGAAGGGGAGGAGGGGAGAGGGAGAGAGGGAGAGAGAAAGAGAGAGAGAGGGATCTTCCACCCACTGGTTCAGGCCTCAAATGGCTGCAACAGCCAAGCCTGGGCTAGGCCAAAGCCAGGAGTGAGGAATTCTATCCAGGTCTTCCAAGGGCCCAAGTACTTAGGCCATCATCTGCTACCATTCCAGTCCCATTAACTGGGGAACTGGATCTGAAGTAGGACAGCTGGGACTTGAACCAGCCTTCTAATATGGGAAGCCGGCTTTGCAAGAGGTGTCTTAATCCACTGAGCTAAGACACTGGCCCCTACCTCCCTCTGGTTTGATCCAGCTTCCTGTTAATGTGTCTGGGAGACAGTGGAAGATGGCCAAAGTGCTTGGGTTCCGGCCATGCATGTGTGAGACCCGGATGGAGTCCCTGGCTCTTGACTTCAGATTGGCCCAGCTCCAAACGTTGTAGGCATTTAGGAAGTGAACCAGCAGATGGGAGATACC